GTTCATGGGAAATGTAGGACGGAGGGGACAAACCACCCAGAGCGTCTCTGACATGATTTGCATGATTGGCTCATGCATCACCGGCCAAACTGGCGGGTAGGTTTTTTAGTTCGGTAAAGTTAGCTTGATATTCACAGATTCGGACTTCCGCGGTGAATATCTTACGAAAGCTACGTTGTTAAACGAAAGTAATTGTGCCAAAATGATCACCTCTACATGGGCTAACTACTACAACATCGATTTTTCTAATCCAATGCGCTGTTTTAATGCAGAGAAATCCATTGAATCCAATGCGCCGCAAGTGCCGAGAAAAGCACTTAGGGAGCGTCAACAAATGCCAATACCAGCTGTGTAAACGAACAATAGTTTTTATTTTAAGCCAAGTACACGCACTAAACTCTCAAATACTATAAATAGCTACCATATCTAACTACTACAACCTTTGTTTTCAGCATTTGTTTCTTTTTTGTATTTTTTATGAATAAATAGGATTTAATATGAATATGAATTTTGAATAACTTTTTTTCAAAGAGGGGCGTGGTCACCAAATTCTCAGGTATGATCAATAACTGCCATATCTAACTACTACAACTTTTGTTTTCAGCAGAAATATCTTTTTTATATTTTTTATGATTAAATATGAATATGATTTTTGAATAACTTTTTTTCAAAAAGGGGCGTGGTCACCAAATTCTCAGGTATGATCAATAACTGCCATATCTAACTACTACAACTTTTGTTTTTAGCAGAAATATCTTTTTTATATTTTTATGATTAAATATGATGAAATATGACTACAAATCTTGAATAACTTTTTTTCAAAAAGGGGCGTGGTCACCAAATTCTCAGGTATCATCAATAACTGCCATATCTAACTACTACAACCTTTGTTTTTTGTATTTTTCTCTTTATATTTTTTGTGATGAAATATGACTACAAATCTTGAATAACTTTTTTTCTAAAAGGGGCGTGGTCACCAAATTCTCAGGTATGATCAATAACTACAATATCTAACTACTACAACCTTTGTTTTTAGCAGAAATACCTTTTTTCATATTTTTTATGATTGAATCTTCAATGGCTTTTTATAAATGGAGAAGAGTCCTTTACGAGGGTTAACAGGAGTATGAATTAGACAGACTCTAATGTTTTAAAACATTTATTAAAGATTGATTTGTATGTGAAGGTGCGGACCTGTAAAGGAAAAGAGTGTGAGTTAAGGAAAATGAATAAATGTACAACATTTAAATATACTTATCTTTTACTCCCTTGTCTGCCCTCTTTAGGCGTTCCGGCCAAATAAGTCCTGAGGAGCCGGAGCACCAAAAGAGGATTCCGGGTTCATCCACTCTGCAGAGAGGGTGGAGGGGTTTCCTGGGTTTTATCTTTCCAGTTTAGTATAGTTTTAGAATAAATAAATCATTTGTAAATTTAAATAATAATAATAAAAAGAGTGTAAAAGCACTACTTTAATTATTGCTGTAGGGCTGCAGTTAGTATTGCTTAATTACTGTCATATGCTATAAAAGCAGGCCACCAACTCTGAACAGAGAGAGTGTTGCATGACATGCTGTCCAATGTAAATAAACCTGCACCCTGGGTGTGCACTTTGTTCCTCCAACATCTTCATAAGTGCCATCCTGACATGACAAGTGTCACAATCTTCAATAAATTTTGTTCTAAAAGGGGCGTGGTCACCAAAATCTCAGTTATAATCAATAATTAACATATCTAAGTACTGCAACCTTTGTTTGCAGCATTTATCTCTTTGTTACATTTTTATGATTAATTATCAATCTTCAATAGCTTTTGTTCTAAAAAGGGGGCGTGGTCACCAAATTCTTCAGAATGTGATAAGAGAGCAGTGTTGTGTCCATTGCACAATGGTATGTGATATTTGATAATTGTATATACTATGTGTATTTGCATATTACTCATAAAATAATGAAATGTAATTCCTGTTATTTATTTATTTATTTATTTATTTGAAAAGGAGGGACAATACATATTAATGAACATTTTCACAAATGTAAATATGCCAGATTATAGCCTTAGGCGAATTTCCATCTGCAGACCCCCTGGCAGGTTGGTGTTAAGCATAGGTTAGTAAAAACATACAGAGACACTATATACAGACTATGTACAGAGAGACAAGGACGAGTACAGTGATCACTTGTTAGAACAAACAATAAAAAGAGTGGACAACAAAGGACAATATAGAAAAACAGTAACGGGAAAGCATCGACTGTATTGCACAAACCCCGATATTGCACATAACCTGACAGACCCAATATTGCACTGACCCATATTGCACTGACCCGCATTACACTAACCCCCATTGTATAACCCATGCCCAACAGACTCCCATTGCACAGCCCGTATGACACTGATAATTGCATCCCCTTTTGTAACCATCATCATTAACTAAACATGATCACATGTTTGTGTGTCCCTCAGCCACACTTTTAAATGACTCCTAAAGGTAGGGAGACTTGTGCTTTCCCTCACAGACAGTGGAATACTATTCCAGAAGCTCACTCCCTGATATGACAGGACATTCTGTGAAAAGCTGGTCCGCCTAAATGACAATTCACAATCACTTCTCACAGTGGCTCGAGTCACTCGAGACCCGGCACTGATAGACTTTTGTTTAATAAAATCACTCAATGGTGGAGGCGCCAGACCATGTATGACCTTGTAGATTAGACAGGCTGATTTAAATAATTTAAAATTAGCAAAGTTTAAAAACTTATATTTATCTAAAATTTGACAATGGTGGTATGATGAAGGTTTCTTGTCTAATATTTTCAATGCTCTTTTGTAGCATACTTCGATTGGCCCAATAGCAGCATGACTCGTATAGGACCAACTTGTGATACAATACTCAATATGAGCCAGTATCATAGAGTGCAGGAATGTAATCGCTGCTGTATCCGTTAATGATGTTCGAATATGTCTGAAGTTCCGTATATTAACATTTACAGTTTTCACTACTTTTTTAATGTGTTTTTTGAAGGATAATTTTGAGTCTATTAGCACTCCTAGATACCTAAATTCCTCAACATTAGTTAATTCTTGTCCACCCAAGAAAACTTTTACTGCGGCCACTGTTGTTTTAGGTTTACTAAAAAACATTGATACAGTCTTTTTAACATTAAGGCACAGGCATGAATCATTCAGCCATTTTTGTAGATCATTTAAGGCTATTGAGAGCTGATGGGCTGCATCATGTTACAATAGAACATTATTTTATCTCCGTAGCAGTGGAACTGGACCACATCCAGCTTTGTGGAATCAGCTTCAACACCACTGACAAACCCATGAGATATTTTAATTATTGGTTATACCTGAGAATTTGGTGACCACGCTCCTTTTTGAAAAAAAGTTATTCAAGATTTGTGGTCATATTTAATCATAAAAAATATAAAAAAGATATTTCTTCTGAAAACAAAAGTTGTAGTAGTTAGATATGGCAGTTATTGATGATACCTGAGAATTTGGTGACCACGCCCCTTTTTGAAAAAAAGTTATTCAAAAATCATATTCATATTTAATCATAAAAAATATAAAAAAGATATTTCTTCTGAAAACAAAAGTTGTAGTAGTTAGATATGGCAGTTATTGATGATACCTGAGAATTTGGTGACCACGCCCCTTTTTGAAAAAAAGTTATTCAAGATTTGTAGTCATATTTCATCATATTTAATCATAAAAATATAAAAAAAGATATTTCTGCTGAAAACAAAAGTTGTAGTAGTTAGATATGGCAGTTATTGATGATACCTGAGAATTTGGTGACCACGCCCCTTTTTGAAAAAAAGTTATTCAAGATTTGTAGTCATATTTCATCATATTTAATCATAAAAATATAAAAAAGATATTTCTGCTGAAAACAAAAGTTGTAGTAGTTAGATATGGCAGTTATTGATGATACCTGAGAATTTGGTGACCACGCCCCTTTTTGAAAAAAAGTTATTCAAAAATCATATTCATATTTAATCATAAAAAATATAAAAAAGATATTTCTTCTGAAAACAAAAGTTGTAGTAGTTAGATATGGCAGTTATTGATGATACCTGAGAATTTGGTGACCACGCCCCTTTTTGAAAAAAAGTTATTCAAGATTTGTAGTCATATTTCATCATATTTAATCATAAAAATATAAAAAAGATATTTCTGCTGAAAACAAAAGTTGTAGTAGTTAGATATTGTAGTTATTGATCATACCTGAGAATTTGGTGACCACACCCCTTTTAGAAAAAAAGTTATTCAAGATTTGTAGTCATATTTCATCATAAAAAATATAAAAAAAGAGGCAAATGCTGAAAACAAAGGTTGTACAAGTTAGAAGTGTTAGTTATTTATTGTGTCCTAGAGTTCTGTGCGTGTACATGGCTTCAAGTAACAGCTATTGTTCGTTTACAAAGCTGGTATTGATACTTGTTGACGCTCCCTATGCGCTTTTCTCGGCACTTGGATTGAATGGATTTCTCTGCATTAAAACAGCGCATTGGATTTGAAAAATCGATGTTGTAGTAGTTAGCCTAAGTAGAGGTGATCATTTTGGCACCATTACTTTCGTTTAACAACGTTGCTTTCGTGAGATATTCATGGCGGAAGTCCGAATCTGTGAATATCAAGCTGACTTTACCGAACTAGGTTTTTTTTAGTACCCGCCAAAATGATTTTTAACCCGCATTTGGCGGGTTGGCGGGTGTTAATTTCGAACCCTGCATACATACATACATACATACATACATACATACATACATACATACATACATGTAAGTGTTCAACAATAATATCATTTTCAGCATGATTCTGGCATCACATCAACAGCACAACATTGACTAAACCCTCGGCGGCCTCGGATCTGCTGCGTCCCTCCATCATCTTCATTGACGACCCCCTTCAGACGTCTACACGCACATGTCCCACTGATTGTACTGATACGTAAAATACATTCATCCCAAAAACATAAGGCCACACACGGATACAGTATGTTTGTGACTGCGCTATCAGCTCACACAGGCCTGAGGAGCGGAGGAGCCGAGGGACCACTCACCAGTTCAGACGCCGCGGGGAGAGGTGCTGTGCTCGGCTGTGTGCTCCTCTACGGCTCCGGGAGGCAGGCAGGTGATGGCGGACATGCTGGTACCACGCTCCCGACACTGTCTTCACCACAGATGTCAAACTCCGTGGTCTTCAGCGGCATGGAGGGATGGCGCTGACGCTGAGGAGGAATCATGAGAACAGGGCCGGAACAAGAATGTTTGGGGGCCTCACGGCGAACCCCGAGCCCACCGCGTTAAGGAAAAACTGATCTTATTATACATCCATGGTGAAATGTTTCCTTTTTGTTACATTTGAGCAAAACATGGTCATCAAAATGACCAATCGTTTTCCCCCAAAGCAGCAGAGGTGACAAAGTACTAATCTTAGTATTAGGTTTATGCAACAAAAAAAGAACAACAAAAAAACCCCTAAATGACCACTTAGATGTCTGGACTTCGGTATACACTCCTTCCAACTGATTCATGGGAATCCTGGCCGTTCCCAGGCCAGCCAGCTGAGGGACATAGTCCCACCCATGTATCCTAGCTGGGTCTTCCCTTGGGTCTCCTGCCTGAAACCCCCCAGTAAGGAGTCGTTCAGGAAGCATCCAAAACAGATGTTCAAGCTCCTCCTCTGGCCCCTATCAAGCTCTACACCGAGCTCCTCATCCCGTCTCTAAGGGACCCCCAGCCACTCTGTGGAGGAAACTCATTTCAACCACTTGTAACCACAATCTTGTTATTTCGGTCTTCACTTAAAGCTATGACCACAGGGGAGGAAGGGAACGTAGATTGACCGGTAAATCTAGAGCTTTGACTGCAGATGCTGCTCCCTCTTCACCAAAACAGTCCCACAAAGCGGCCGCAATCTCACGCTCACTTGTGAACAAAACTCCAAGATTTATTTTATCCACCTCAAGTACTTAGTAATGCGTACTAAAAAACAGTAATGCGCTTCTTCTTGGTAAATTTGCCAGTTTGGAAAAAAGTCCTCAAAAGTGTGACTGGAAGCTGACCATCATCAGGTCTTAGGTGTTTTAGATTGTTTAAAATTTAAAAATCCTACGTTTGTGTATTTCCATGATCTCTTTTACACAGTAAACATGTAACCACAGTAACCACAAACTCTGACGAGGTTCTCACTGTCACCATGGCAACCGCATCACCAGAAGACAGTGCAGTCGGCACATCCAGAAAGAATCATGGGAAAATTATGAACATTACGTATATTTGTGGGCTTCAGTTTTCCAAAATATGAAAAAAAAATTCTTTTTTTGCATTGTAATGTTTTTCCTTTTTTCCCATCACTCTTTGAGACAGTATAGTGCAGCGCTGGTATTTCAGTCTGCTAGAACTGGACAGATTACGTCAACTTTGTCTCTCTTTAAGATATTTATTTACAGTTGTACAAAGAAAATGTGTTCAAGACATTTTGAAGACTTAATAAATCATTATAAGACAAATTTGATGTTGTCAGATGCTATAGCTGACACGTTACCAATATATTATGAACACCCTAACAATGTTTTTTCTGCTCAAGGTTTACAACAAAAATAAATATACACAAAAATGTACAAGTGAATCGAAGTGCTGTCAAAGAATACAAACTGAAAATGCAGATGAACACGCTGCAAAGATATAGTGAACGTTGATTCAGTGGAACAAATGCATTTATCTTCATATTTCATTGTCAAACCATGAACTCTCTCAACTTAGTCCTCAATGACCAGAACGATGATATTATACAATCAACAAAGAAAAAACATTGTCCAGGGGTGAACACACAATACAGTCTATTGTATGAACCTTGTGCACTTGTATACAGTGAACTGAAGAAATGTATGTAGATTTTAATTTATGTATGACTTCTTGTTTTTATTCTGCTTTAACCTGTTTGCCAAAGCATATTCCTAGTTTTTTTGTGACTTTTTGTTACTCACATGGCAATAAATAGGATTCTGATTCTGACTCCTGCATTAGACCCAGCACGGATCAAATCTGGATGATATTTGGATATATTTTAATGAGAGTCATAATTCCAGTCTGGAACGTTCTTGCTGTGAGGCTGAAGTGCTAACCTCCATGTACATCAACAGCAGGATAGCTCAAACAGGAACGAGTCAGGTTTCCTTGATATTGTATGTACTTCTGATGTTTTTGCTCTGTTTTGTTTGTATGTGGTATTGCATTGATAATCTGTAGCACTTTGAGGTTTCCTGGAAATGTAAGGTGCAATAAAAAAAATCAAATGTATTATTATTATTATTGTTATTACGGTCCCTGCTTCACTGAATATGTTTAAACACAATCCCCTTCATGAATACTTTCTAGAGTCTTTCAATTCTATACGATGACCAATGAAACTATTTAGAAATGCATAATCTCAAAACAGGGTGAATACAAATAAAAACTGATCAACAAAAAAAACAAATTTCTTCGTCCCAAATCTTGTGAAAGTAAAATATTGTTAACAAATCAGACCACCCGATACTGTATGACATTATATAGTTTGCATACTTGTAAGAATGAGCCCTGTGAGTCACTATTTGAGGCTTTGTGGTCCTCTCTTTAACATACAGATGTGACAGATCATGGCATAAACAGGCCTTGAGTATCCTCGCGGTGTCACCACGGCAACAGACATAAAATACACAGGTACGAAGCATTAAGTTTATCATGTACTCTGGTATCTGCTCCGTAGGTAACATGAGATGAGATGTACTTTATTATCTCACAATGGAGAAATTCAGGATATGAGGTGATGAAAAAACGGCATTCTCTCAATCAGTTCTCAGTTCAGTTCTCTCACTCTAAAAACACATGCACGTGACTAACAATTAACGGAAACTGTTTTTAGAGCAAAAAACTGGAAGCACTCATGCCTCAGAGCAAGTGGTCAGACCAGAGTGATTTCTTTGGTTTGATTTGAAAGTTAAGCATCCCAGTTTTTAATTGCTTTTAAAAATCCCAAATATATTTATTCTGCAATCCAATTATTTGCATAATTAGGAATCCGTAATCCCAGTTTGCATTTAAGAGATTGTAATTGGTCGCCCAAAAACTGGAGGAAGAGTAAAGATGAGATCTTCTGCTTTAGCAAATAAAAAGGGAGACTGGTCCCCAGGCGAGATATTTACAATAATTATGTACAAATGGCCATTGTTTAATTCATCCCCTTAATCCTCCGTCCAAAGTCAAAGTGCCAAATCTGAAAGATGTAAGAATGCATTTAGTAACAGTCAGTAATCGGATGATGAACAGTTACTTGTTGAGAGGGTGAAAATACTTTCTCAGGTCTCACCTTTCTAAGAAGTGATTATTTTCCGCTAACTCTTTAACCACACCTTCCATCTCTTCTTTTAGTTTCTTCATTCTTCAGAAGCACAAAGTACATGCATTTAACATAAATGTAGAAGCTTCAGATAATATGTAAGGCTGCACTTACCCCAGCGTCATTTCCACAAGTGTATTCTGACTCAGGTAGGCCTGAGGCTTCATCCCCCCGGACACTAGAGGAAGGACCTTCTGAGGGAGCTGCTCTTGCAGCTGCACAAAAACCAACACATTTGGTTCAGAAAAGCATCATGAAAATACACTTCATATTTCTGCACTTACTTTGATGACTCTCTCCATTAACATGGTCACCTCTTTCTCAATGCTAATCAACTGAGAAGAGAGGCCAAGGAACTGTTTCCGGACGTGATGAACTTTCCTAGAGATAACACTAGTTTACCATTTTGTTGAGACCCAGTTATGAACCAAATGTGAAGAATCTCTTACCTCATCCATTCTTCACTCTTAGAGATGAACAAGCGGTATTTCATGGCACACTCTTCTGTAAATAGTGACCTTGCTTTGCTGGCATGGAGGACCAGCTTTTGTCTACGCAGGAACAAACCAACTGTTAAAATACTAAGAGTTTAAAAAACATATATTCATAAATCTCTATATTTACTTGTCAAATTTGTGGATCTGTTCCTCATTGTAGGGCAGACCTGGATAGTAACATGCAGGTTAGTGACAAACAATACACTTATAATATAGTTATTACAGCATACACTCACGTCTTTCAGCTTTGTCCTTCTTAAACTGGTGGTAAATGGCTGTGATGGCATCCAGCAACACTTTGATTTTCTCCACACTATAGAAAAGTAGGTTATAACTCTGCAGATGTTCATTCATTTAGCATCAAGAAGCTGCTTACTTTCTGTCCTCGGGGTGCGTCCCGACTTGTTGTGTCCATGTGTCCGTCAGCACTCCTCCAGGGATGAATTTACTTTTGATATCTTGTGACGTTCGCTCAATGGGCTCCAAAGAACTTGCAATCTGAACATTAAACAGCCTCGTCATTTCACAATACTGCAAAAGTGCTCTAATCAATCACTATTTCATTTCTATTTCACTATTTTGAAATCCACACATTTCAACTCTTGGAATCTTAACCTTGAAATGGAGATGGGCGCTGTGAGGCACTAATGAGGCGGTTAACAAGGGTACCAAGTCCGTTAGTTTAAAGAATGAGTTGTCAGATTAGGAGATCATTCATAGAAGAAAGGTATTTTACAACTTTATAGGTGTTCACAACCCAAGATGAGACATGAGACACAGACCAAGGAGAGAAATGAGAAAATGAGAAAATTTCTGTGTAAAAAGTGCCAGGACAAATAGTTTCCTACTTTCTAACTTACTACTATAGCTTACTACTTACTACTTTAACTTCTATTGTGATGTGACTGTGACATGTGTATGTGTACAGTATGTGTATGTGTATACTTAATATGTGGTTTGTTGGGTGGGTTGAGGGCATGTGGGATTGTTTTTGACCAAACTGTATTGAATTTCTTGTATGAAAAATGCTTTAGAAATAAAATTGGATTGATGGATGGCCAAGTTGATTTCTTCTCATCCGTACACTTCTTCATCAGTATGCATCTTTTTATAAATAACATTTCTGTCACAATACATTCAAGCTGATAATAATTCACGTTAAATTGATTGTCTGGAGAGGGGTACATGATTTGAAAAAATAAAAACGGCCGAAGCACCCTCCCCCTTCCTTTCTGATTGGTGTATGCCTACGTTTCCGTAACACATTTAAATGTTAATCTGAGAACACATTATACTTATACATTATAATACACATGCACGGAGGTTTTCAGAATTATTTGTTAACGTTTTCATGACAAAAATTATGTTTTAATGCACAAAAAAAGCGATCGCAGTAAACTTGGAAGTAGCTATTATTAGTTGAACATTATTGGACACATCTGCAGAGCATCTGATTATAGATATAGGTTCAGTATATAAATGATTATGGATATAGGTTCAGTATATAAATGATTATGGATATAGGTTCAGTATATAAATGATTATGGATATAGGTTCAGTATATAAATGATTATGGATATAGGTTCAGTATATAAATGATTATGGATATAGGTTCAGGATATAAATGATTATGGATATAGGTTCAGTATATAAATGATTATATACAACAGCCCTTGGCATGACTCGATTGGTTAACGTGGACGGCATCGTGAATTCTGAGCTATAGCTAAGAGAAGGGAAGGCGGGACTTACCCGTAAAATTAGAATTCATGAAATGACTTATTTTATATCAACATTTAAGGCCAGGAGGTCAATTTAATACAATTAATAAAATTTGTAATTAATTTAGGGTTCCAAACTATCACTTTAAGTCACGTTAAGTCACTTGCACTAGGACTATTCTATTGCCACTTTTCTATAATTGCTTTTTTATTGTACATAATAAATCCTGTACAGACTATTTCTTGCCTCTAACATGTTTGCACACTTCTGTCTTTTGCACAAATCTGAGTGTTTCTATCCATGCCAGATGTGACATGCAAATTTCTCCTGTGCTTGATCAATAAAGTCTATCTTATCTTACCCTGAGAATCTTCTTGTGCATGTCAGAGATCTCATCATACTCTGTGGACAGCATGTTGGCCTGCATGAACACCTCAAATCTGAAAAGAAAAAAAAACACAACAATCCCATATAAAAAAGGAGCGCTTGATTTTAAAACTTCAAAAACGTTGCTCACAGTTGTTCGGTTTTCTCGAGTATCTGCGTACAGTAGCCGCACAAATGGAAGACTTCATTCTTTTTGTGTTGGATCTCACTGTAGTCTTCCTTCATCAGCTCTCTTTAAGAATAACAAACCACAGTTACAATATCGCTCTGATGAGATCGGGAGCATTTGACACGTCACCCACAATAGACCGCGGACACCCTTCCGGACAAGCTCCTGATAAACGAGGAGAGACTCGGAAGTTTTCCACAAGTGGCCCACGTCTCCTGCAAAAGTCTGTAAAAGAGAGAAAACAAATATGATTTAAAAATATATATACATACATACAGCGAGTACAGAACTGAATGGCCACTTTATACGTCACTGGTAAATGCTGTACAGTAACTTTGTGTGGAAGCGTATCAGTACCAGTAATTTGCACATTCTCAATTGGCTGCTAAATGTGAATTATATTGCACTTTGAACATTATGACTTGTGACTGTAACTACGTTGGTAACCTGAATGTTGGAATATGAATATTAGTAATTTTTACTGTTGTTTTTTTAATATGCATGTTTAATGATTAGGGGTGTGGCGATATATCAATTTTCTTCTTTCTCCCGCGATTCGATTATCGATATGCATTTGCCAAGTATCGATATCAATTTAGAAAAAAAAATACAAAAAAATGTTTTTTTTTTTTTTTTTTGGTATCAAATTGGTATCAATACTTAATATATGGCTACATTACACATCTCCATTCCATTTATCATGAAATAACGTGTATTTTTTCTTTTATTTATGCCATAAATTGGCATATTGTATATTTCTGACCAATATATCAATAATCGTCATATCGTGATAAAATCGTTATTGTGATATCGTTATTGTGATAATATCGTTATTGTACTAATATCGTTATCGTGATAATATCGTTATCGTGATAATATCGTTATCGTGATAATATCGTTATCGTGATAATATTGTTATCGTGATAATATCGTTATCGTGATAATATCGTTATCGTGATAATATTGTTATCGTGAGCTTTGTATCGTGTATCGTATCGTGAGGTACCCTTAGGTTCCCACCCATATTAATGATAGTATTGTTAAGGATTTAAAATTGAAAGTAACATGGTGCAACTATGTATTACTTGCACTAGAATATACAGCATTTCTTACTTGCTCCGTACTTTGCTAAAGTCGGGGTTTTTTGTACTTAATTCTCGCTTCTTCATTATGCTAAAGTTGGAGAGTTTATGACTTCTTAACCTTATGCTAAAGATAGCTTCATACTAAAATCAAATCAAATCTATTATTCATTTATCTTGTGCTGTATGCTCTTCATTCCAACTGTTTTGTAATTGTGAACACTGAAATGTCCTCACTGTGGGACAAATAAAGGATCTCTTTAATGTAACTGCACATTGTCCTGAAATAAACTTAACTAAACTAAACTTCGCCATTACCTTAGCATAGCTGGCATCTAAATCAAGATCGTAGCGGGGTTGGACTTTCGGTGGGCTGGCTGTGAAGAGAAAAAAAAAAGATTGAGAAAAAGCATGTGTCAGCAACTGGATGATATGATATTGATACTGACGATCTTCAAAGATGAGTCCGACGGTGGTGACGGATTCACGGCTGACGAGCATGATGGGGTTGTCCCTCGTGGTCTTGGGGAATGTTTTGGCCTGGCGGTTTGGGTCGAGGATGAGCCGCCGACCCTCGTAAAGCAGCTCCTGGTTGTGGAGGGTGATGCTGGTCCTTCGGCAAAGCAGGTCCTGGAATAATGCTGCTCTGTAAAGCGTTGGCAGAGATACAAATATGTTTAGGTTTTTCAGTTTTTGACCTTTGGTTTGCTTCGCTGTTTTTTTTTTTACAACGTGCTTTTCATATGGCGTGTGGATATTCCAACATTTATATAAAAAAAATCATAACCGCTAGTACAACAGTTGCCTCAGATTCCGAAGAAAACGTCCAGTCAAGTCCTGCTCCTGCCCCTCAGCATGGCCCTCTACAGCCGTATTCTACAGTGTACGCACGGCTTTTGACAGCTGCAGCAGCGCTCGGACCTAAAAACAACAGGTTCGATATCCCTGCGATCGCACTTTAGCAGTCGTGAGTTCAGGTGGTTAGAAAAGTGTGTGTGAGGGATTTTACAGCCTTAAAACATATAGCTGCTAATTTGTAGATTTCACTTACGGCAATTTATTTTCAAACAGTAGTCCCTGTGATAAAGAAGGAACAACTATACTAACAGAAGAATGCATCATGACTGAACCAGGTATATCTGCACTCAACAAGGGCTCCAGGAAAGCTGTGACCATGACCTCTGGCAAAGGTGCCGAGAAGAAGAGAAAGAGCAGGAAGGAGAGCTACGGCATCTGCATGTACGAGGCGCTGAAGCTGGTGAGCATCATGAACTTTGCTACTTCTTCAACAAAGGGCTCCACATCACCTCCAGGGAGATCCAGACTCACTGCTGACTGGAGAGCTGGCCGAGAATACCGTAACGTCTGAAGGCACCAAGGCCATGACCACGTACTTCAGCTCCAAATCACAATAATCCTAACCCAAAGCACTGTTCACTTTAACATTTTATTAAGATTAAGCTACTGTGTCTAAGTAATTCTCTGTGTGGATTAAGTATTTTTGTCATAGTTCAAGAGTAAACCTGAGACATTAATGGATTTATCTTAATATAGGACAAAGCCAGTCAATCATCTTTAGACTTTTCTTACGCGTTGTGTTCATGGATGTAGATGTGATGAAGAGTAGCTTGCTGCAGGCTGAAGACATAAACCACAGTGCGGTGGAGGATGTCACTGGTCTCTGCGAAGAATTGGTCAAACCCCCAGCACTTTTCCTGGTCTGCCTCCAAGATGTTGGCAAGCACAGGAGTAAGGAGACTCTGCAACCCCCTCATAGAGAAATCCAAAAACACGAGAGGGTTAATTCATTGTCCATTAGGTTTAACCATACAGCACTGTGACTTTGGAACTGACCAAATACTTACTTTGACAAGCTGCAGGACACTGGCATCTCTGTGCTCCATTCGATTTTCCCATTTTCACACTTCTGATGGCCAGAGATTGTTCCTGGGGGTTTTTCTGTGATGATTTTATACCTGACACACAGTTTTGCAGATATTACAAGACAAATACTGTGTATAACTGACTATATTCAGTGAGACTTACATCACTTCTTTGTTTCGGCGAGGACCCTCAAATGGTCGGAATGGGAGGCTGCCTGTAGCGGCGTGGTAGAAAGTGACACCAATACTCCAAAGGTCCACTGTGGCACCATATTTTTTCTGGTGATCTTTCCTCAAAACTGCACGCTCGTACATGTCAGGATGCTACTCTCCCATCCGAGAAAGACAAAGTTACGATTAGACTAACCATGTGGGAAAACTTAATGCACTAATTTTCTTACCAAATATTCCTCAGTGCCATACAGCGATACAAACTGCTCATCATCTTCCAGCTCCCTGGCAGCACCGAAGTCCGTCAGCTTGTAGACAGAGCGGCCATCTTCTCCAATCACACGCATAATGTTCCCCGGTTTAATGTCGCGATGGACGATGCCGTACTCTCTCAAGTGGTTCATCCCAGCAACTGAAGGCAACGCAGAGAAGAACGTCACAGCCGTGTTTGATCTAACAACACGGACCATGGCAGAGTCAGAACTCACCCACATCGTGGAGAACTATGAGGAACTCGTCTTCAGGAAGCCCATAAGCGTTTGAGGCCTCCTCTAGGACTGTGTAAAGACTCCCACAGGGGCAGTACTCCATAACGAGGACCTTGTGACGAGTGTTGGACTGTTGACATAAACAAATGTTCATAAAAAGCAACCGTTGGAGGGAAATAATGCGAACATGTTTATTCATCTCTTTTCAACTGACTTATTTTTGTCTTGACCGCTTTTGTTTATTTAAAATGCAACATTTAATACAAACCTCTTCTTCCACTGCAAACAGTTTCACAATGTTTTTGTGGTTTAGTTTTTTCAACACTTCAAACTCCCTCATCTGAACATCCAAGGGTCTTAGAAAGCTGATGTTGTTGAAGACCTTCACAGCATACAGGTCTCCTGTTTTCTAAACAAAAACGAATACCACTCAATAAGCCACGAACCAAAGTTAGCAGACAAAAGGCAAAAGTGGGGCTATTGTTTTACTTTGTGTCGACCGCGATAAACATTTGCCGTCGCTCCCTGACCCAGCAGGTCTGAGATTAGCCAAAGGTAGTTTGTGGTGCTCTGCATTGTGGCGACTCACGAGACTCTGAAGAGAAACAAAGTTTTGTTACCAACATTCCACATTTGTTGCATAATTATTTCAGATAAAGGACACATTAGAGCTGGTGTTTCAGAGAAAAATCAAACAAAAGAGAATTGTATAATTATTTATTTGGAATATAAAGGGGAAAAAAGGTTCACAATCGTCTATTCTCCTGCGGGAGGGGTTTTACAAAAACACCATAACACTCATCCACCTCAATGGAAAAAAGCATGTGATCGCAAAATCCGGATTTCTTCAGCAATAAAAAAGTAGAAAGTAGAATGTAATTAACCAGATATCAACTGTAAATGAGGTCCAAACATGATTTAAAATCTAACAGTGAAATCATCCACTAAACTACAGCACTATATAAAGATCAAGTATCCATTATGTTATTAAATATGTACAATCAAATTAGGGCTGAAATATGTCAATTACATGTGAAGTATTCTGGTATAATAATACTGATTTTGTAATCAAAATCAACCAGATGACTCATTTGTTTAGGGTTAAAATACTTATATAATACTTATATTTAATATTGTTCTGTGAAAGGTAAAGACGTTTTTTGAGGGATTAAAAGGTAAACTGAATTTTTCAATAGCTGAAGGCCCAATTATAATGAATATCTGCACAAATATGTGAAATGCATCTTTAATTTGCAGTTTAATTACATGTACTATAACCGAAACATTTTGTGTTGTGGTTGGGCAACAAACCATAAATAAGCAGTAAAAATGTCACTTCTTGTCAGTAAACTAATCTTCGACAGGCATACAAGTTATCAAAGGCACAGTTCCGCCCATGTTCAGTTCTGATACACCTTGTACCTAAACCAGTAACCATAACAAAGCAGAGCAGGTTTGATGTTGTGTATTAGTAAGCAAGTACATTACGTCATTAACGCATTCATTGAATTCTAAATGCAATTATTTTTATATAGAGCCATATCATACAGCTCAAAGCCTGGATGTTGTATAATAAAGCTGTAACAATATTATTATAGATTCATGGCTGCAACACACAGAGGTGACGTTAAAGCTCCGGGAAATTCCCATTAGGCCTGAAGAGACAGACAGACCTGTTCGAAAAGTGAGTATAAAGCCCAACGCACACCGAAACGCCTTGACGCGCGGCAAAAGAGCCGCCTCCTTTATTTTCTATGAGAGAACGCACACCAAGGTTGCAGTGACGCGCGGCGACGCTGGACCGGGCGCCACGATTCAGTTTTGTTGAATCCAGACGCGGCGCCGCGGCTGAAACTGTCCCTCCAAGCACCCGTAGTTTTCTTCTTCTGCGCTTCTTATCACGTAGCTGTGAGCGCGGTCTCAAATTTACACACTTGTCGGCGCTATTGCTCAAGTAAACCGGTCACAATGGACGAGGAAAGCTTGATAACCCAAGTACAGCGTTACCCAGAGCTAGTTATTAGCCTGTTTAAAAAATGGGTCCAAATAGTCTTTTCTTGTAATATTTGCCAGCATAATTTCACGTAAATACTTTGTTTCCTCCCCCAAAATATTAGTAGAAACTTCCAAACGTCACTCACCCATTTCATCTGCGATCAGCTGGAAAAGGACGCTAGCCAAGGCGTTCCGGTGTAATTTGACACATGTCATGAACGCGCGTCAAATGACGCGCCGCGAGGCGCTGCGTTTCGGTGTGCGGTGAGCTTAATATGGCGAACAACAATCAGATTAAACGCAGATTACCACCACACACTTGAATTAAAAACTGTTTTGAGATTTTCTTTGCCTTTGTTGTTATAATGGCATTTCCAACACCGGATGGAGGGAAATAAAATATCATAGATTTACCACCAGTTTGATCGCAAAGTGTTAAATGATATAAGAATGTCTACCGTGAGCAGATTTGGAACTAATCATTCAGATAATTTCTAGGTAAACGTAATCTACGCATTTTCATTTTCGATTCAGGAAACTGGATTCTATTCGGGATCGCAGGGTTTCACAATTACACGTTTTAACTTATTTCAGACAGCGGTCACAAGTACAGTAAGACTCACATGTGTATTCTGCGAAGGACAGGTTTGTGTTGGAGATGAAATGTCCGCATATATGTTGTGTATTTGTTTATTTCCTCACCTTCTCTATGCGGACGTCTGCGCCTCTTCCGCTGTGTCTGGTCACGTGTCACAAACCTTAGAGGGGGGCGTGGCCTACATGTGACGGAGAAGGAAAAGGAAAATAGATTTAAAAAAATCAATTATGTATTTATTTATTTTCTTCATGCATCGCTTATCACCAGGTATTATTATTTTTTATCCCTGCTAAAAAAATGGCAGTCCTGAAACAATTATCCCGTTGTTCAGGTTTTGGATGTTTGTTATATAGACAGACTGTACATTTTGTCCACATATAGGGCCCACTTGAATATAAGCCGCTGGTTTTCATATTGTAATGTAACACACATGCAAGTGGGGGAAAAAGTATTTAGTCAGCCCCCAGTTGTGCAAGTTCTCCCACCTAAAAAGAGGAAGGAAGCCGGTAATTTTCATCATAGGTATAACTATGAGAGACAGAATGAGAAATCCAGAAAATCACTTGGTCTGATTTTTTAATTACTTATTTGTAAACTATGATGGAAAATAAGTATTTTGTCTGTGGAAAAATCAAGGCTCTCAGACAACCTGGAGGCACCTGGAGCAACCTATTTCAGTAATCTGTGGAAAATTAACCTCACACCGGATATTTACGCACCAGAGCCACCTGGAAGTTTATTCACTTTTCTCTCTGAAAGTTTTTTCCGACAGAACAAAGTCAGTACAAGCTCTATATAGTCAACGTTTACGTCAAACACGTAACAACATACGTGTCATCTTAAGACAGCTAAAGAACATAACACGGATACACAATCGTAGCAGATACACAATCGGGTCGCTGTGACCTACGGAAGGCCAGATTACTTGTATAGCTATCCAATATAATTCCCATTTAATCTGGAGACTGGCTAGGCCAGCCAGCCATCTCAACTCCATAGAAAATCTTTGGAGTTAAACGCTTGTGTTGCCCAGCGACAGCCCCAAAACATCACTTCTCTAGGAGATCTACATGGAGGAATGGGCCAAAACACCAGCAACCGTGTGTGAAAACCTTGTGAAGACTTACAGAAAACGTTTGAGTTCTGTCATTGGCAACAAAGGGTATTAAGGGTTATTGACCAAATACTTATTTTCCACCATAATTTGCAAATAAATTCTTTTCAAATCAGATGTGATTTGCTGGATATTTTTTTCTCATACCTCAATTATGATGAAAATTACAGGCCTCCCTCATCTTTAAGTGAGAGAACTTGCACAATTGGTGCCTGACTAAATACATTTGCCCTGCTGTATAAAAGTCCAATGTATTTCTCTGCCGTTCACATAAACATAGAGAAGGAGGAATGTGTCTTATCCTTCCTGCACCCCAGGGGGTGCTCTAACATCTATCTAGAAAAAAAGTAGCGGCTTATATGAAAAGGCACATTTTTACTGCTGCAGATGTCATTTCATATATAGAAGTTTGTACTTAAAGGCAAATGTCAAGACAATATTAATATGAGAAGTTCAACATTAAAAACTAGCATGGACCTTTTTTGGTATATTATATAATCAAAAACAAAATGTTATGAAGTGAAGGAACAAACCAAAAATCAAGCAAAAAGTCCTGACAAATTTTGTAGAGATGATGCTGAAGAATCATGATTTGAGCTTGCTCGAATTACTTTTGAAAAAATACATAAAGTATATATTAAAGCTGCTTAATTTCAGCTAATTTGATTAGTCCCCACTATCCACCGCTCCTTACAGTGTCAGACAGACTTTGGAAGAATATGTCAAATTTCAGAAATGTTGTTTAAGTGATGCAAACAGAATGTAAAAGCCAGATCCATTCAGACCCCTGAAGCCCCTGAACCTTGAGTCCCCCAAAAAGTTAACTAAGAGCCACAGATAACCATAAGAACCACACAAGCATGGTCAAGTTCAAGCACTTGTATTTAACAAAAGAAAGAGGAAAACACAGCAATTAATGAGTTACAGCTTATGGTGGCAGCTGAATGGGATATACAAGTAAACTGTTTACAGGCAAACAATGACAAAAAGAAAATACACATACATTTTATCATTAACCAAATGTTGGTAATTTACTGTCCTTGCTAAGAAATGTATCCAAATAAATGGTGACTTTACTTCCAAACTATGTCAAAGTGCTTTCTAAAAGCATTGATAGGATTTCATTATTTAAAACTTCCTTTTTGTTTTTTAAAAGTCATCATCTATTTGGACAAACAAACGGCAAGAACCAGCGGTGCACATTTCAGCTGCATGTACCACAACTGTAGCAGAAGTACTGTAAAGTGCAGTTATCAGAAGAGAACCTCATCCATTTGATGCGTCTGTGCCACAGCTGCACAGACACAAACATGACATGAACATTTGGCATCACAGTCTTTCTCTTGCTTTTCAACCGTAACAAATATTCAATTACTGAGGAGATACGCATTTGGGAATTTGAGTCGTAAACTGAAACAGCATAATGGTCATTGTGTTCAAATCTGATCAAAATGGTACGAATGCGAATCATTGTACGTATAATTAGTGAAATAAACTAAACAAAAATATGTACTGGCTTGCAACATTATGAAGAAATTAAATCAATATTAGGCCAAGAACCAGGACCTACTATCTCCCAGTCCATGTAGCGTTCTCACAGCAACAGAGCCTAACTGGATGTTAGTGAGGATCATTAACAATGTCAACATTCAATGAGAATACAAAAACATTTTCTAAAACGTTCCTATAATTCTACACTGGGAATGAATCTGCGATAATAATGTGAAGCATTAAAAATCATTTGTACCAAAGTACTCATTTACTAGATAATTTAAATCTAAAATATTTGGCCAATCCCCCCACATGTCGAATTGAACTCTAACCACAGTTTTTTTTTTTTTTTTAAGATTAAAAAAATAATCAAAGTAAACGGTTTGGACACGACTGGGATACGATATGCTGCTACACACTTGACCCTACGCATAAAGATTGTCACTCATGCTGGTGTAGATTTCTATTTGATGGCACCTTTAGATTTTGACTGTGAAATATGTCCCTTAAACATTTGGACAAGATATAAAGTTAACTTCAAAAAATATATTTCTCATGTTGACGAAAAGCAGAAAGACATGACACAGCTTTACAAAAAGACATTGCAGATACAGTAACATTGTCAAGGCAACAGAGTCGATGCCGTCTCCTTTTCACCTCTGGTCCCAGACTCTCCACGCGGTCAAAGTTATTTTGGCACATCAGTCCAAGCCATTGACTGATTCAACAGATACTGAAACCTGAATATGTCACTGAATGTACAGATTTTAGATTGTCAAACATCGGGAGTAATATTTTGTAGAAAAATATAAAGATGCAATCATAAAAAGACGTACTGCAAGATTTCAATGGATAGAATTACAATGATTTTTGATATAGCTTATAAATACATGTATCTACACAATATGCAGTATAAAAATAGTATGAGCACTTAAATGGGCACTGGTTTACTCTGTTTTTTTCCTCAAAACAACAAGATGTGACAATGTAAAACTGGTCAGGCACGAGTTTGTGTGGTTCCTCTATGCCCTCTCCTCACTGCACACGGTTAGCTAGTTCTGTACCAAATGGCAACAATTAATCATTCTCTTTGACCGTCGCTGGTCATGACTGTAGGGGTTTTCAAGTGGTTTTGTGCCTGGTCTGAAACAATGTAGAGTCAAAGCCTTTGTGGCAAATGTAGAGAATTTGAAGGTTTTCATGCTTCATGCAAAAATAGTCCCATAATCATTGAATCTAGTCAAATTAGTAAGTGCATACAAGTGAGTAAAAGTTTTAGTTTTGGTCTGTACCAGTAGTAGTATAGTGTTTTTTTTTCGTACCGCAGCTTTTAGAAATGCAAATGTTAAATTACAAATAAGAAGCTTGGGCCTCTGTAACAATGTAACAATCATTTTCCGTTTAGTTTTGAACAACATTCTATTACAGATGAAAATACAGTCAGCTCAAGCTATAGTTTATGTCCTGCAGAGAGAATTGCTTTTCTGGCGATGAAGAGCATTTTTGGGCCGTAAACAAACTGTTAAGTGTTTCAATGGTATGGCTCAGCACGACTTGCCCATAAAAACACTGAAATGAACCGCTTTGTAAATGAAAGGATGTAAATATTAAATCAAGAACCGTACCACCTGCTCCTCCAGTTTCCATGGTCACCACATAGCTGCAGCGGCGAGGCGGCGCCATCGGGAGGCGCTAGTCTCTATGGTTGCTGCTGTTCTCATATTTGGCATCAGTTAAGTAAAACGTCCTGCTGTGTGCTTTTTGTCCTTCAGCCTCTTCTACTTTAAGGCAACTTATATTTGTGATAATTTTAATAAAACCTTTTCTTAAAAAATGTACAAATTTCTTAATACAAACCTCTATGGCATTATCAGTAAACACTGTATAGAAAATATATAAATATGCTTCTCTCTTTTTAAATGTACAAATGTTCGGCAGCTCCCAGTTCTCTTATATCCTTTTGTTGGTCTCCGTGATCAGTCTCTCGTTCCCATTTTTAACCTCAGATATGCACAATTGCTATTTACAGTGAGGGAATGGAGCTGTGTGGAGGGAGGCTCAGGAGGAGTCCGTGCAGGGTGAGGGCGGAGGGGGGTAGAGGTGATGAGAGTAGCTCCGCTCGGTGAAGGGAGAGGGCGGGCAGCTCTCACAGTTCTCTTCTGCGGACAGGTACTGGCTGCGCGGCGTGGGCGGAGGCGGGAACGGCTCCGAGTCGTAGTTGAGGTCGCTGGTGTAGCCCTTTGTGGCGGCGCCGGACTTGAAGGGCATCCGGCGCCCCGGTGTGTAGTCGCTGTCACACACGTCTGTGCTGCAGGGGGTGGTGGGCGGGGCGAAGTGTCGGTACGTGTACGGCCGGTAACTGAGGAGGATAGACATTCACAAACTCAGTCGTAGGAAACAAAAATACTAATTATACAGAACATGTTGGCTTCATGTTGTAGAGTTGGAGGGCAGGTGCAAATACAACTAACAGGAAGAAGCATTTTAGAAAGACATTTAGAAAAGATAAAATGTGGATCTCCGAGGTTTCTCACTTTTCTACCACTGGGTTTTAGAGTTTTTCCTTGCAGATGCAGGAGGGTCTGTTGGACACTAACATTCTACAACATTCATGGACATTGGTCTCTCCCTATGGTCCAAAACACATGTGTTCTTTATTTGTTGTGTTTCAACGGTTGATTCTCTGATCTGTGTTGGTGATTTGGTTTTGTTAAGTCCTCTGAGATGCTATTGGGATTTAGGACTATACAAGAATAATTTGTATTGGATTGTATTGTATGTTTTCCCAGATAAGATTAGCTTTTAAAACAAGCCATATTAATCTTTCTACTGCTATCACATATCTGAGAAATGAGAAATAATTGGGCTCTCGTTGGTCTGTACTGACAAAGACGTGGACTAGAAGCCTGACTTTTGAATGTTAAAGGCGCTATACCCGTTTCTGCAATGTTTGAATGTTTAGCACCGCCCCCCAACTCGCTCAATGGCTTCTCATTTCCCCTACGCTCTCATAACACAGAGCCACCTAGTTTTATTTGTGATCTGATACATATGCTAACATTAGCATTAGCGCAACTTCTTGTAAGCTGTGCAACAATCACTGATGAAATGGCACTAAAGCAACGCACTGCTAACACGATATAAAAGTAAAAGAATACCGCTAGTTTTGCGTCCGAATGTATTAATTTAAACATTAGAATATATTCTAATATTTAATTATAATGTGTTATAGAGCTCCTCAAAGCAGCAGCAGCAATTCTTCCGATCATTTTGTCTTGATAACAGAACTCTCAAACCAATAATGACCGAAGCCCCAATGCAATCTTTGTTTGTGATTCAGCTGTGTAAAATACTGCCATTACTCTGCAAGTACAAAACGCTATCAGCGCCTGTCACTACACACATGTCTGTGTAGAGAAGCTAGCAGAGCTAGCGGAGCTAGCGGAGCTAGCCACGCTCAATAAACAACTACATATCTATCAATCAACACCATTAAACGTCAATCGGACAATACAGTATACATATACATCCTTAACACACATGCACGGACGATTTCAGAATTTGCTGTCAACGTTTTCATGACAAAAATACGGTTTTAATGTGACAAAAAGCGATTGTGAAAAACCCGGAAGTTACCGTGAAACAACTAGCTAGCTTAGCTGTTACCTGCCTAGCACGTCCCGGTGAAACCTTTGGGAGCTAACTATTATATTTGCAGTCATTAAATACATTTCGAATTATAAGGGTTGTCTAATATTTGTTCAAATATGTATATATTTTTATTTTAGAATGATATTCGAATTTTGAAGTCGAAGCCCTGGTGTTAAGCAGCGCTGTAGAGGCTAGAGGACGCAGGCTGTAGAGGCTAGAGGACACAGGCTGTAGAGGCTAGAGGACACAGGCTGTAGAGACTAGAGGACACAGGCTGTAGAGGCTAGAGGACACAGGCTGTAGAGGCTAGAGGACACAGGCTGTAGAGGCTAGAGGACGCAGGCTGTAGAGGCTAGAGGACACAGGCTGTAGAGGCTAGAGGACACAGGCTGTAGAGACTAGAGGACACAGGCTGTAGAGGCTAGAGGACGCAGGCTGTAGAGGCTAGAGGACACAGGCTGTAGAGGCTAGAGGACACAGGCTGTAGAGACTAGAGGACACAGGCTGTAGAGGCTAGAGGACGCAGGCTGTAGAGGCTAGAGGACACAGGCTGTAGAGGCTAGAGGACACAGGCTGTAGAGGCTAGAGGACGCAGGCTGTTCGCTGCTTGTTCTGTGAGCGGAGGAGAAAGAGCGGCCCGCTAACTCTACTCAGCACTTTTCACTGCTTGTAATTCTTACACAGCTGAATCAATGACCTCAAGTTTTCAATTAAATGATGTATTATGATACAACTTGTATGTAGTAAAAAGCATTTTTATGAACTACTTAGAAAAAAAATCGGGTATAGCTTCTTTAATATAGTTAACAGGAATGTTTAAACTGTACTCCACTACAACTTTCAACTATACAGCTCTTTTTAATATTGTGATGTCGCATGAAGGCAAACTATTGTTATTAAAAAAGAAAAAAGAAAACCCTGGATCCTCTGTTGTAGTTGTCATTACCTGTAGGACCTGTGTGTGGAGGGACTGTTGGAGGAGTATCCAAACTCCATGGTGTACTGAGAGCGGACGGTCGCAGGAGACGGAGGAGGGTTCAGGATCTAAAAGACAAATGTTTTTAGTCATTGCATTTACATTTGTGTGTAAAGAGTTCTCATGGAGCTTAAATCTTACCGGGGGAAAGTAGGTGCCCTTTGTGCTCGAGGAACTGCTGGAAGACGCACCAGTCACGTGTGCACGGTCATATGGAGGGCCGCTGCTCCCTCCCATGATGCTTAGGGAACCAATCATAGACTTTCCCCTAGACATACCTGAGAGCAGAAAGAGAGGCTTAGCAACCAGCGTCCTGTGTGCTTATTGTTTAACTACAGTCTGAAAAGGCCTCACCTGGGAGAGAGCTGGTCAGAGAGCCAGGGTGTGGTACATATCCAAGAGGCACAGAGGACGGCCCATGAACTACGAAGTCATTTGTGACCGTTTCACTGTCATCCTTCATCTGCGGACAGAGGACGCGCTGGCACACAAAGTAAATGGCACCAACCACAAAGAGGGCCAAGACCACACCCACAATTGAGCTGATAGTATTGTTTGTAGGGGAGGGCGGCTCCTCTGTTGGGTCTGAAATAAAAATATTAGAAGTTTCAAGAATGTAACAGTGACAAAAGACTATAATGAACAAACTTACAGCAGCCAAATTCATCTGAATTGTCAGTACAGTCCATGTTATGATCACACTTTTTGTGTTTCCCGATACACTGGCCATTTGAACAGCTGAACTGATCAGGGGGACAGCGCACTAGAACAAACGTAAACATATTAGTTTCCACACATCCTTAAACCGCATGCATCGATGCATAATTTTGCATTGAGCCACAAAAGGCAATGCATGCAACCCACCTTCACACTTGTTTTCATCTGAACTATCTTGACAGTTGATCTCTCCATTGCAACGCAGGCTCATATCGATGCACTGGCGGCTGTCACACTGAAACTCAGACTCTGAACACACCGGACAATCATCCTCATCGCTGCGGTCATCACACTCTGCAAACCCGTCACAGCGCCACGCCTGTGGGATACAGTCCACTTCTCCAGATGTGCAGGAGAACTGCTCGGGCGAGCAGGTGGGAGGCTCTGTGGACACAACATTAAACACTTATGTTTAAATTTGAAACAAGGGATCAGGTTTAGCACAGATGAGCGACATTCACCTCCACAGGAGAGTTCATCCTGCAGCAGCACCAGGTGAATGGGACAGGAGCAGCGAGTCGTCCCATCCCCCTTCACTATGCAGATGTGAGAGCAGCCGCCGTTATCCCATGTGCATGGGTGCTTGCCTGCAAAAAAAGCACAATAAGAAGATCATGATCATGAAGAATATTGAGGGTTTGAACATGAAAATATCCTGAAAAAGAAAACACTTACTGTACTCTCTCATATCCAACTCGCGGACAGCATGGATGTCACTCAAATAGGGAATACGGGCCTGAATCTTGGTGCGCCCCTCTCGAGTGGTCTTGTCTATGCGCTCTATCATCTGCTGCTGCTTGTCTATCCAGTACAGATGGTCACCAAACACGGTCAGTCCAACAGGCTGCAATATGTTGGAGTCTGCAATCACGATCCGATTTGCACCTGGAATCACAGCGGCCGGGACAAAACCAAAAGGTTTGAGGGGGGGAAATTTCAGGAGTAAAACCAAGAAAATGGGAAAGGAACTAAGGACAGCAGGAGAGTGGATGGGAGAGTAAAGTCAAAATTAATTTTAATGGTCAGTAGGAGCCAGTAAGGAGTTGTAAGAGAGAATAAATGTAACCAGCTGAAAAAAGATGATCACAGAGAATGACGACCAGAGCAGAAAGGCTAGTACTACATGTTGTATACATTCCTGCTACCACAGGAATGTGCTAAGTTTAAGGCTTATAACACACTCATCAACTCATGAGAAAATCAAGATGGAAGTTTGGAAGCATTCATCAATCTGAAAGTACTGGCCTGAAGAACTTTGTGAGGGAGCAGCATTAGTACAAGACAAGAGGAGACATTTACCCTTGAAGACTTGATTTTGCTTTCCCTTTCTCCATTTTTGTATACTTTAAATTGCTATATGCATAATTTATCCCACAAGGAAATTACCAGACCTGTCCTTTGACAACAACAGGCTCAGACAGATGCCGCTGTGAAAGACTGCAGAGCGAACTGCTAATGCAAACTAGTTTTGGAAGAGCCCAAATGTTTTAGATTAAAGATTTAAATCTTGAATTTATAAAGTGACCAGTAAATTCAAATTGATAAAAGATCCATACGATGGCACATGTCACATCTTTGATTTCAAAACACAAACCATTTAAAAAAGATTCTCACCAGATAGGTCGCTACTCTCAATCCGCCTCAGGTCAGAGTCCACCCAAAACAGTTTCCCCACTTCATTGTCAATGGACAAAGCAACTGGTTTTCCTAATCCGCTGAAGAACAACACTTCCCGCTCCGTCCCATCCAGAGCTGCGCGTTCAATTTTTGGAGATCGTTCCAGCAGATTTGTGAAGTACATGTATCTGCAAAACAAGACACAGACATGATTATTGAAAAGAAACTGGAAAGGAATGACAGAAAGACAGTTCATTTTGATTTCCTTTAATTTCTAACCAGCTGAAAAGTTGAAGAGTTTTGACGTCAAAAGTCCAGTGTCATTTGTTGTTGCACCAGTGGATGTATATGAAATGTGGTATGCAATATTTTCTTTCATAGAGCTATTCCATTGGGAAAGGTTTGCAATGGGAATATAGTAAACCAAATCACTCACATCTTGCAATAGACGGATCAAAGATTAAAGCTTTACATTTGTGCTGTGCTTAACAGACATATAGTCGATACATTTTCATTCAAGCACCAGATTTGTGCTTAGTGTGGCACCTGTTATTCTCAATAATCTCCCATCCTAAGAACTAACCACGCCATGGCTTTGATTCCAAGATCTGACAAGAATGAATATTGACATGTCACAACACGACCTCCTTCATCCTGGCACCAAACATACTCCACTCAGGTTGTTTTAGTGTAGCTTTGATGTATAGAGCAGTACTAGAAAAAGTTACGAAAGCAGTCTCAGAACAAATGAGCGATCTACTGAGAGTACTTTAGGCTATTAACTGCATTGCTTTATTGAACAACTTAAGTCAGCCATTGACAAAGGCTTGATGGTTGGAGCAGTATTTTTGGACTTAAAAAAGGCATTTGACGTTCTAGACCATGATCTCCTTGTGCTCAAACTATCTGGACTAAACTTTGAAGAACCAGCACTGCAGTGGTTCAAGACATATCTGGATCAGAGACAACAGTGTGTAATAATCAATAACGAAAAGTCATCCTTTTTAACATTAACATCAGGAGTCCCGCAGGGATCAATATTGGGCCCACTTCTCTTTACACTTTACATTAATGACTTACCAAACGCATGCCCAGGAGCAGGTATCCAGCTGTATGCAGACGATGCAGTTGTATATGTGAGTGGCAAAACAATTGAAACCATTACTGCACAGCTACAGCACCATCTAGAGGCTGTAGCAGAATGGTTTCAAAATTCTGGTCTTTCTTTAAATGTCAGTAAAACAAAATCTGTCTGTTTTTCATCTAGAACACGTCCCACTGAGAACCTACCCCTAACAATTGACAGGCAACACATTGAGCAAGTGAGAGAATTCAAATATTTAGGCCTAATTCTGGACTCTCACTTGCAATTTGACAGTCACATTAACAAGATTGTAAAAAGGACTAAATCAAGTTTGTATAGTTTCAGACTAATCAGAGATTGTTTACCTTTCAACGCAGCCAATATCTTTCTACACGCCATGATTTTTTCTCAGATAAGTTACTGTATCACCTGCTGGTCCCAGGCCACAGCCTCTTCCATCAAACCAGTAAGAATGCTCTACAACAGAGCCATAAAAATACTGGACAAAAAGCCAATAAGAACACACCATTGCCAGGTGTTGCAGAGACTACATTTTCTTAGTTTTGATAATTTTATTAAATTTTGTAATTGTAAATTATTGTACAAATGTTTGCACAGTCGAGCCCCTGCTGTCCTGAGTGCTCTCTTAGTTCCTCTGAGATCCGTCACACGGGGCTCCTCTAACGGGAATGTGAAAGTGCCCCTCAGGAGAACCACATTCGGACAGTCGGTCTTCTCGGTCCAGGGGGCAAAGCTCTGGAACTCTTTAAGCCCTCAGCTAAAACTGAACTCTGACTGGGCTGGTTTTAAACATGAACTAAAGCGATTTCTTAAAACAAACCAGGTGTGTGAGCATCAATGAGTTGGAGAACATCTGCTTTTATATAATGTGAATTTTATAATGTATAATGTGTTTTAATTGTGTTAAAAGCCCTCCTAGGGACGGACATTGCAAACTAGCCTTGGCTATAAATGTTGTAGTGTTTCACATGTTGATTGTGTTCACTTGTCCCTATCAAATAAATCAATAAATAAAAAAATAAATAAAAAATAAATTGGAAGTATGTTTCTGGCCTGTTCCTCACTCTGGGTCATGATTATACCAAAATATGTGCAGATTCCATTTCAGACCCACACAATGACCCAGAGATTATTGTAAGAACCATTGCTCTAAGGAAAGCCTGCAATTATGGTTCGGGAACAAGCAACTTGGCAGAATGCAGCTACAGGCTTCAGAATAAGGCAGATTAAAAAGGATTAACAAATTGGGCGTGATTAAATATGATACAGCACTTCCTCCAAGATTGACACTGTTACAATTATTAATATGTTTTTGTATGTCTGCCTCCTTGACACTAGTAAGGTACCCTTATAAAGGCGAGTATAATAGCCTTTTTAAGTGACACAAGTATAAAAACATGTGGGTAACGAACAGTGGGTGGGCACAATATTGAATTTTAAAAAGGCATAGGTTTGAAACACAATTGATACTGAATGTGTTGTTATTGTCATTAGAAAAGGATGAAACATATCTTGTGATTTATGATGTATCAATCTGACTCTGTATAAAGTCAGTGTAATCTGAATACAATGGTCCCTTGTTTATTGCGGGGGTTACGTTAAAAAGATGTTGAAGTAGATACAGCTCTCAAAAGCCGGACACCGCTCTGAGGAGAAGTCTGTGGTGGTCCTCTGAACTAAACACAGTGGGGCACAAAAGCCACAAAACTTTTCTTTTGACTTTAAATAAAAATGTAACTGTCATGTTAAACAGCAGTTATATGATGTTGTATTTGATATTGTTGGAGTCTACACGCGGCGCACGAGAGACACGCTGGGGAAAAGCAAACAACAGCAAGAGCGAGGCGTCAGTGAGGGACCACTGTACTTAAATAAACATTTGGAGTAGTTTCAAGCAAGCAGGGTTTAGAAAAGACAACCACATACATTTGCTTTGTTTTAGGAGAGCTGCACAGTGGTATAAGAAAGCCAAGGCAAATATTATAGGAACGTTCTTACAGGCAGCAAAAGATACAGCCATAAGTACATTTTTGTGACCATTAAATCACAAAACTACATTGATAGTATAGTCGCTGGTGCCATATTCAACCATTGACTTGACAATAACTCTCGTCTCTAAACTGTCTTTAAGCACATCTGTAATAACAACCACAACAAGGCCATGTTGCTCCACGTACCCTCTCTCAGGGTTGACCACAATGGCTCTGGGTTTATCGTGTTCTCCCCGGAGCACCACTCCCACTCTGCTTCCATCTGTCCGAGTGACATTGATAACGTTGGTAACTTCACTCGTCCAGTAAATGAAGCGACTGTAGATGTCGATGCTCAGGTCGTAAAGCTGTAGGCCTTGAGTCGGTCCACCAATTGAGGTGAACACCACTGTCATACTCTGCAAAGCCAAAGCAAAAGAACAAGTTAGCAGGCGGAACGGGAAAAAAAAAAGAATCAGAATGGTGAAATTCCACTGACCTGGTTTCCATCCTCTTGAGAACGCCGGATAACATTTTGCTTTGAGTCGATCCAATACAAGTGTTTGTCGAGCGGATCGTAATCAATGGCACGGACATTTCTCAGATTGTGAATTGGAAGAATGATGTCTGGACTCTGCTGTTCATCAATTACCATCCTGTTAATAGCCATCTTCTGACTAAACAGTAGAAAGGATGTTGGGGCTGGAGGAAAAGGTAAACATTTCTTTAATACAAAAAAAAAAAGCCAAGCAAGCCTAGTCTACTGTGCACAACAGTACCAGACATTTATTTATTATTATAATGTCCACTGTCAATATACTTTACTCATTGTGCAATTATTACTTTATAATGTCATATGTACAATATAGAACCACATGTCACATGTTACATGCTGCTAACATGTACATATGTAAACATGCAACTATATATTACTTGCACTAGAACATTAGATATTTTATTTTAGTATAGAGTTATTATTAATTTATCTTGTGCTGTGTGCTCCTCATTCCGACTGTTCTGTAACTTGTGATGCAACACTGAACTTTCACCACAGTGGGACGAATAAAGGATCTGTTAATCATACTTCTTACCACTGCAGGTTTTGTTATCATAGTTGAGGGAGAAGTGAGCTGGGCATCCACAGACATAGCTGCTAACAGGGACAGCGAGACAGAGGTGGGAGCAGTGGCCATTGGTGGAGGCACAAGCATTCCAACCCCCCTGCCGCGAGGAGTGGAACACCAGGATGTCCATAACGTAGTCCAAATGGCCCTGGATCAGGGTGCGGTTCTGCCCACTAGTCTTATTGGCACGTTCAATGCTGCGCTGGCTCCAGTCTGTCCAGTAAATGTAGTCCTGGTACTGTGTGAGCCCAAAGGGGTGAGGGAGGTCATCTGCAATCACCTCACGGTCCTGACCTGAGAAACAGAAAACATGGTTTATTTTAAAAGAGGCACGATGTAAAACATGTGCAAAATGTACACGTACATAATTTCCCTTGAACACATACAAGTATAATTCTGACACATAAGACAATATCGGTTGAAAAATAGCTAGGATTTTTTTTAAATTTATAAGTAGCATAGTTTTAGCTAGTTTTTCTGCTCTATGGCACAACTAGATATTATTCACACAAATGAATCTCAATATTCAATTATCTCTTTTATTGTCTTATACTCTCCCTCTGTAGAAAAACGTTCCTGTTCTAAGCCGATGAGCCATGGTGTAGTACAGTGGTTCCCAAAGTGGGGGTCCTGGGAACCCCTGTGGGGGGGGTCGCAAGATGATTTAAAAACAAATGGTAATAATAATGATTAAAACAAAAAAATATTGCCCTTAAATATTTAGTTTGAATTTGATTTGATTCAAAAGGACTACTTGTTAAATTGTGTTTGGAGAATATAATATATTTTAATGACGTTTGTAAGGGGGGAGCCCACCTGCTAAAGGGGGGCCCACCTAGTAGAGCCCTGCACTTGAGCCCTTGGCCCTTGGCCCGACAGCCCGAGGGCCGGGTTTCGGGCCGATGACCGCATAATGACCTCGGACACGGGCCGGGCTCGGGCTCTTCATTTTCAGAGCGGCGGAATACATTTACGAACGCACCCACTAAATATAGCGTTCTATCACGCTGTAGTGTTTGTTGTTCTGTGTAGTGTTGTCATTGACGGCACATAGCGTTACTTACAGGTGTGTTGCAGCATCTGGGCATCATACAGATGCGGCCGTTCACTCTGCACCACTCTGCACCACTCCGCACACACTGAACTCATTGCAACACATCACTACCATGTATAACTCCGCCCTCTAGCTAAGTCTGCGTTCATATCAGTGCGCGGCACTATATACTACGCTAAAACATTGTTATGGGAGGTAAAAAAAAAAAAAAAAAAAAAAAGTCGGGCTTGATGCGGGTTTTGGGCCTGAAAATTCAGAAACCATATCGGGCCGGGCCGGGCTCGGGCCCAGATAATAGGCCCGTGCAGGGCTCTACCACCTAGCCCATCACTGTGTCACTACGCGAGTAAAAATACGCAAGGCTCTTAATTTGGGCTGGCAAGTGCAGCTCGGTAGAGTCTCTATAAAGCGTTTTTCTGAATCAAGGAAATACGTGCTCATGTAACGGGAAGGGCTGTTGAGGTGGGGGGGTCGCGGGGGAGCAGCGCATTTATCACGGGGGTTGGGGGCTAAAAGCTTTGGGAACCCCTGGTGTAGTACAGGTGCAGTACAGGTGTAACACAGGTGTAGGTTTGTGTTTTCATGAAATATTTATAAACAAAGTCAAACAGAACATCATTGCTGCTCACTGCCTGTCCTTGTATAGTGCAGACATAGCTGTAGATCATGGTAGCAAGCAGCAGGGTTTTATTTGTATGCACTGTGTGTATTTTATATTCAATATACAAAACAGAAAAGTCTTAAAGCAGGAGTGGCAACAATATTTTTTACAGATTCAGATATAATCTGATATAATCTATTGATGATGTCAGAATCTATCAACTACTGGTGCACAAGATATTCTCTGGGCTAAAAGCCTACACTTACCCAGCATGTTGGATGACTCAATCAATGTAGTATCAAGGTCTGTCCAGTAGAGGCGCCGTTCAGCATAGTCAATAGTGAGTCCGTTTGCTCGGCCTACATCAGCTACCAAAGTGATGCGACCTGTGCCATCCATAGCTGCCCTATCAATTTTCGGCTTTCCACCCCACTCTGTCCAGTACATGTAGCTAGTAAGGCAAAAGATTCAAAATATAAGTTGTTATTACCAAGAATATAAATTAAATATCTAAAAAGAAGACAAGTCTAACCCTTCAGCAGGGTCCAGAGCTAAAGCTCGAGGGCTGTCCAGATCCTTCCAGACCAGGACTTGGCGGTGTTGTCCATCTAATTTGGCCACCTCAATACGATTAGTGCCAGTATCTGCCCAGTACAGGTTCTTTCCCAGCCAATCGACAGCCATTCCCTCTGGATAGTCCAGTCCAAACTCCACCACATGTTCCAGAGCGCTGCCATTCATAAATGCTCGACTGATTGTCTGTGAAAAATGAATATGTTCATTTCAACAAGAAACAAATAAAGTAGGCTTTATAATAATAATAAGATTTAAGTTGATACATGTATAAGTATAATATGCAGCAAAACAGTTGTACCTTCAATGTGATATCAGTCCAGTAGATACGATTGTCAGTGATGTCGAAGTCAAGAGCTGAAGCCTCTTTGACCCCAGAGAGTGGAATTGCAACATTGTTGTTGTTGGTCTCCAGAGAAATACGGCGGATATCAGTATGACGAGAGAACAGTAGGAAAGCTTCAGGGATGATACATGTTTGCATGTCAGATATGAGCTCAAGGCCGATGGGGCATCCGCACTGCACACCTCGAGGCTTGTACAGGCAGAGATGACTGCAGTCTCCATTATTGTCAGCACATGGGTTTGTCCCTTCACATGGAGAAACATTAGTTAATATTGTAAAATTACACTACATACAGTAGTATTACAAGCCCTGAATCCCTATATTATCATCATTACAACAGTTTTCACTAGGCTCCAAAATATGACTATGATTGTTATTAGAAATGACTGACAATGACCTCCATAACAATTGCAGGTACATTGGCCTGATGTATCAACAGAATGGTGCGTTCTGATGGTACGCCTGGCCGAGTGGTGTTGATTAGAGATTCTTTTTTTCATCCCACAGTGGGGAAATTTCAGTGAATCACCAGTTACAGAACAATAGGAATAGCAACACAGGATAAGTGAAAAATAACTATATATTTCAAAATAAAACTAATAGTATAATAAAGAAGAAAGTATAAAATACTGTATATTCTAGTGCCGTTGTAATATGACATTACAAACAACAGCATCAAACAGCTTTGTGTTGCTCTGATATCCATCTGTGATTAGAGTTACCTTCTTAGATTATTATCATTTGACCCGTGTTCCGATGTACTCAACTTGCCTGTATAGTTCTGAACGCATGGAGTCTTGCTAAAGGCATCAACACCACCACTACGCCTACCATTACCCTCTACCCACTACCACTCACAAATAAAGGCAAGTTGTCAATGGAGAAAATTACTATAGTTTTGTTTTAAACTCGTCTCAAGCTAAAATGCTCTTCACTTGAATTATTAGTGAATAGTAAAAAATATGCACCTTTCCCTTTGATAAATGAGGTCCACTGCATGAATATATCAAGTATTGAATCTAAAGTACTCACCAAAGGATTCATGCACATAAGTGGCTTTGAGGCCCATCAAGTCCGGAAGCTGGTCAATGATGAACTCGCGCTCTGCAGTGCGCTTATGAACACGCTCAATGCTCCGCCGCTGCCAGTCCGTCCAGTAGATGTAATCACCGAGTAACGTAAAACCAAAGATGTGAGGAAGTTTATCCTCCACCAACACTCGCCTGTTCGTTCCATCCATGTTCATAACCTAACAAGGCAAGAATGACCACATTTTAAATGAATATATAATATTCTTTATGCACAGAAAAGAGAAGTCCAGTGTCATGTTGTGAAAAACCATTTGGAAAAAAACATTTTTATTTTCAGTAAGACACCATTACACTAGTACCAGTAACTAAAACGTACCACTTTGGGTATAATTATTTATTGTTTCTATTTTAAGACCAAATGTCTGAAAATAGAAGCGGGTCTGCTGGTTTGAAAGGAGGCCGCAGTGTGGCAATGGTAGAAGTTTCTGGTCTATTATAAACAGTACAGACCGCAGGTCTAGAGGACGCCCTAATCGGATCCAGATGTGGTAGTGCACCACGAAAAACAGCTGGAAAACCTGGAGGAGGAGGAGGGCCATCCAGTGAGCTTAGTCATACAAGGAAAAGTATTTTTTATGGTTTGTAGATAATGTAGCTCTCACAAGGCAATAGAGAAAAGAAAAATTAACAAAAAGATTGTGCTCCGGCATTTTATCAGTGTCGCATCAATGTCGCAATCAAAGTGACCTACAGTAGTATTTCTAAAGAATATCACATGACATGTGTTGTACTAATATTTTATCATTTCATTTAAATATATAAATACAATAGTTGTTGGGCCTTACCATATCATAAATATTGCTCTGCAATCAAAAAAGTTCCAAAATTGAATTAAATAGAATAATTACCCAAAAAACTCAACAATATAAAAAAGTGAAGTGTGAATTGTGATGGTTGAAGAAAATCAAGAAAGTCAGTAAGCAATCTTTAATTATATAGCGCATATCACAGACCAGTCACTCAAAGCATTTTACAATCCTTCCATTAACTCCACACAGTGATGACATAAGAGGCACTGCCGTACAGCTGGTGCACCAGACCTCAAAACATTCACCAACCAGTACTATTGTACGTGTTTTTAGTGGTAAGGGAAACCAGACCACCCAGAGGAACCGTACTCAGACACAGGGAGAACATGCAAACTCCACACAGAAAGCCCTCGTCTGGCCCAGGAATCAAACTGAAGACCTTATCACCGCTGTGAAGTTGGATCTTTTTTTTTTTTAATGTTTAATTGATTTCTCACTGACCTGTCATATTGTCGTGTGTGACTGGGTGTGATTTATATATAAAAAAAATGTAAAAGCATGTCATGATTTTGAGGAGACCCCAGGAAGATTAGCCACTGCATCTCAGTGGCTAATGGGGATCTTAATAAACTAAACTAAACTAAACTGGATTGCAGCAGGATAGAGATGTGCAAGATATCAGACAGAGGTCGGAGAATTCAATCACTACTAATGAATGCTATGACGTACCTCAATCTTATCGGTCTTGGCATCTCCCCAGTAGATTTTACGGTCTGCATAATCAAGGGCGAGACCATTGGGCCAGCCCAATGATGTGTTGACCATCACAACTCGCTCCAGGCCATCCAAGTCAGCACGCTCAATCTTCGGCACTTCACCCCAATCGGTCCAATACATGTAACTGTACAAAAGGGAAAAAATAATCACAATACAATTTAATACAAGTTAAAGCCAAAATGTACATTTTCTACATTTGAGCCAAAATGTACACTGTACTAAAAGAAAGTTGAATGATTGCACTTAAAACTTTGTAAGACCAGTGCTGCTGTTGTAAAGAATGAGGAGATAAGATTCAACAGATGTTCTTAATCATCTCAAAATAATTGCATTTAATTTGATGTCATGCAAGTGGCGCAGCTACAACCAGAAATCTGACATCCAGTACAGTTTTTAGTCTTTAAATGTCAATTGTTTAAAAACAGACCCACAATGATTTACAACAACAGTTAATTTAAACCTTAAATGTTGATCTCATCAGCGCGTGTTTGGGTTAGTAAGGCCCACAGGCCGGACTTTGGGCATGCTTTATTTGCATTAAGAGGAGATTTTGGGCATGTTCCTGGCTGAGCACATTGTTGCACCTTCATCTCTACTCCGTGTTCTTGGAGAGAAGACCAAGCTGCAGCCACAACTCCAAAACGTTGAGTTGTAAGACAGTTCTGAACTGCAATCTTAGTAACTAATTTATGATTATTACTAAAATAATAATGATATCATCATCATTATAATCATTTTTACAACATATTATATTTGTCTCTGCATGCAATGGTAGGAAGACCTCAATACAATTTCAGGATATGTGGTGTTGGCAGGATATGTGTGCCCAATGTTTTCGTTATTAATATTATTATAAGTAAAATATAATCTATGCTGAATAGGATATTTAAGTAATACCGCTCACTTCAGTGCTAATAAATATATTACACAGTTTGGAAAAATGTGGGGCTTTAACTTTTGCTTTTTGTCCTTTTATTCATCCATCCATAAACAGATAAACGTTAGTGTACAGTAATATGAATGATAAGATATGCTCTAGTTTCTCACCCAGCCACTGGATCCAGGACAATAGCTCGAGGCTCATCTAAATCTTCGGCTATGAGGATTTTGCGCATGGTCCCATTGAGCCTGGTCACCTCAATGCGGTCGGTCCCAGTGTCAGTCCAGTACAGATTCCGTGCAATCCAGTCCACTGCGATACCATCAGGATGACTGACTTGAGACGTGACCACAAACTCAGCCTCACTGCCATCCAGTAGAGAGCGGCGAATGGCCCGGACATCGTCATCTGTCCAGTAGATGTATCCTTCGACGGGATCATAATCAATGGCAATGGCGTGACGAATATCATCCACCTGCATTATGATGTCTGTAAAGTCGGGCATGTCCAGAGAGATGCGCCGCAAATCTGTCCTCCGGGCCAACAGCAACATCTGAGTGGCACCTGAGGAAGGGACAGGGTTGAAAATGTTAGAAAGTTCTTACTTGTATTTGAATATGTGCGCACATACACACCAATATCCACATCACACATACTAGTAAGTAAGTACTTTATTTATATAGTGCATTTTTACAGTCTAAGGTCACCCAAGGCGCTTTACAATGTTCCGAATTTAGGAGTTCAGATACTAAACATGCACACATAAGTGTGCAAGGGTCTAGCTGATGTTCTAATGTGGCTCATGTTCAAATATTAAAATACACGCACAGGCGTAAACATTGTTTGAGATTGACATTTATCAAATTATAAAATAGATTTTTATATGAATCTCAATGTGATTTAATCACAATTCAAAGTGAGGTAAAGGCGCACCTTTATTAATCCTCAAAGAGTATCCTCTACGTTTGACCCATCCTGATGTCACTAGGGCCAGGAGCAATGGTCTCCGTAGAAAAGCACCTGTGGACTCATCTTCAGATGTTGATGCTTGGCTTAGTCAGGACTACCGGAGCTGGATTTACTTATTGTGCATGTTTTTAGAGGTAGGGGAAACCGGAGCACCCGGAGAAAACCAGAGGAAACCTACGCAGGCACAAGGAGATGCAAACTCTACTCAGAAAGACCCTGTTCCGACCGGGATACGAACCTAGGGTCATCTTGCTGAGAAGCAAGAGTGCTATCCACTCAGCCACCGTGCCGCCCATATTGTATTAATCACTGATACTTCCTTGTATAATTTGTGCTTACATGCTATAAAGTTGAGGCAATAAGTGATGGAACACATAACTCAGCAACTAAAAATGTCACTGAAAGGTCAATGGCAAGCTGCATCCGGAGATAATCTATTTGTTGAGCATCTTTACAGGAAAAATAAGGAAGTCTCGTTGGTCTTGCTCAGAAAGGGGAAGGATTTTTTTTTTTTTCCAGCTGGTGGGAACAGTCCAGCGGTTTCGAATCAATCTTCCTCACCATTTCTACAAGTCGTCCCATCTTCAAGAAGCTGGACTCCAGTAGGACAGGCGCATTGATAGAAGGGCTTAGTCGGAGACAGCAGACAGAGGTGGGAACAGCCTCCATTGTTTACAGAACAAGGCGATGGCACTGCTTGACAAAACAAACAAATATTAACCCTACAATGATATATGATGAAGACCTTCTTATACAGAGCCTTTGAAAAAAACACGCAAAAAAACACTTTCACTTAGAACAGGACTCTGTATGATTCACCCATAAGATGTCTTCAAACAGCTTTGTTTCAAATTGATGGTGGAAACAGCAAATATGGCATCCACACTAAAACCCTTTATCATTTTAAGTTTATGGGTTCACTTGAGGTGGATTTTTATTTATGCACATTAGCCTCTAAAATGTTTATTCTCTCTGTTTGTAAATAGTGATTGCTATATTGTTAATTGTTTCTCGCTATTTAGAGGCATCATTGCAGAAACCTCTTTGTATGTGTAGTAAAAACAAAGGTTCACACTCACCAACAGGTTGTCTTTTGGGGCTGAAGACATGAATGTCCATAGGAGAGAAAATGTTTGAATGAACAATTCGCTGTTCGCCACCTGTCTGTTTCCTGCAAGAGTGAATGGAGTGTGTGTTCCAGTCAGTCCAGAATAATGTGTCCTCAAAGAGTGTTAGGGCAAACGGATGAGGAAGGTCTCCTTTGACCACCACCTCTCTGTAACAAACAAGATCAAAACAGTCAGCCAAGATTCACATAAGAAATATGAATGAAGTCACATACCTGAAGGAGCCGTCAAGATTGGAGCGATGGATAAAGTTGTGTTTAGCATCAGCCCAGTACAATTTCTCCTGACTGTAATCCAGAGTAAGGCCATTGGGCCAAAATATTTCTTTATCAATAATTATTGAACGATTGGTTCCATCCATCCCTGCCCTCTCAATTTTGGGGATCTCTCCCCAATCAGTCCAGTACATGTATCTGAAAAACAAGTACAAAATATGAATAACCTATAATCTGAAAAAGGGATGAACTAATCAAGTATTTTCATTTTGTTTGATACAGCCAAAATCTGATATATAGGGGAAGGAAAGAAAATAGTCCAGTCTGTATGCATGTGTGTGCACTTTCGACTCCCTTATCTTGAGGATGCCCGATCAAATTATGTTGAACAGCAGTCAGCTGTGCGTAAATACGCAGAGGATTTGCCAGCTCGAGCATCCAGGCTCCTCATTTATGGGGAGAGAGTAGTAAAGACCAATTCCAAAAGTAAAACATAATCTACGGTGTCATGTCATTTGCCCATAGGAGTTCATTTGCAATTATGATCCACATTTAAAAACAATAGAACAACAGTGGTGGCCATTAGAGGTGCAACGGTTCATCACTGATCCGTGATCCGTTCGGTTCAACGTCTTCGGTTCGGTACAGACGTGATCCGCGGTTTGATTTATGAAAAAAAAGTTGTGCGCACGTTGTTCAGTCCACACACAGCGCGGTCATTGCGAGCGGAGGAACGGAGATGCTTGAAAGCCCCGCGTCATTTAAATCCCCAGTATGAGAGCATTTTGGCTTCACTGTAACTACACTGATCATTAATATTCGACAAAACTGTCACGATGTGAAAGCACTGTGGCACAAGAAAGACATGAGTGAAAAAAGCGTCTCAACGACCGCTTATTGTCGCAGCATTTAAGCAGCTCCTTTACGCACAGTCAGACCGGGCTAAAGTCAACTCTCCCGCGCATCCTCAGCTGCGCTCACGACTGACGCTTGGACGTCCCGCGGAACCTATAATAGATCCATGAGCGGAACCGCTCACTTCATCACCGCAGACTGGGAGATGAAAAGTCTGGCGCTGCAGACACGCCCCCTCTACGACAGTCACAAAGTCACACAGCGCAGGTACTGACACAAGCAGCGGAGGAATGGAAGACAAAGGCCCAGTACTAATATCCCAGTCACAACTGATAATGCCAAAAATTAAATAAATGCAGTGAATGAGGCTGGGCCCAGAATGGAGCGCCTCCTCGGGAGAATCAGGAAGGTGGTGTAATATATGAGGGTAAATATCCTGATAAAGTGCCTTCTTATGTTGCACTTTGTGTTGTTTTTCATTAATTATGTTAAATAGACATAATTGGATGGATGGAATATGCCATCCATCTAGGGCTGGGCAATAAATCGAATTTAGGCAATTAATTGGCTTTTGAAAAAATCTAATTTGTGAAAAATGTGAAAATCGAGAAATCGAATGAAGGATATTGTGAGAGTTCCAGCTGCACATACATTATGCTTGCAATATCAGCACAGTCTGTACAAGACTTTTATAATACATATTTGGCAAAACAAAATAAAAATGGTCTTGAAACTTGATTATTGAGCAGAAAGATATTTTTAAGGGCAAACTTTAATGAAAATCGACTTAAAATTGAAATCGTCCAAAGCAGGAAATAAAATCGAGATTTTACTTTTTTGCCATATCGCCCAGCCCTACATCCATCCATCCATTTCCTTCCCCTTAATTCATTTCTAGGTCAGGGGGGGCAGTCAGAGCAGGAGCCGAGTCCACATGAGCTGTGTTTATTAAAAAGACAAAACTTTTTTTTTGAAAAATGAACCGAACCGTGGCCTCTGAACCGAGGTACGAACCGAACCGTGATTTTTTCAAACCGTTGCACCCCTAGTGGCCATCTTTGACTTTTACACAATGTTATAAAATAAAGCACAGGTTTAACTGTACATGCAAATGTTTTAATCTGCAGTGTAGTTGAAATTACTTTGGAAAAGTATAATCTGACTATTTTAGAGAGTTTTTCATGTATTTATTACAAAGTAGGGCTGGGCAATAAATCGAATTTAGGCAATTAATCGGCTTTTGAAAAAATCAAATATGTGAAAATCGTGAAATCGAATGAAGGATACTGTGAGAGTTCCAGCAGCATGTGAATTATACTTGCAATATCAGCACAGTCTGCACAATACTTTGATAATACGTATTGGGGGAAACAAATCAAACAGTTTTGAAACTTGAATATTGAGCCGAAAGATCAGGGCAAAGTCTGTCTTCAGTGACTTTACAGAAAATCGATTTAAAATCGAAATTGTCCAAAGCAGTAAATAAAATCGAGATTTTACTTTTTTGCCAAATCGCCAAGCCCTATTACAAAGTACTTTATTATTTTCATACCCGTCCTGCACAGTATAACTTTTACTGTGCTCATTAACAGTGTGTCAGAAAGGTTAGTATCACATTGATGGGAGTAACAGCTTTGTTAATAATATTTTGGACGGTGTTTTTATTATTATTATTCTGCTCGTTTTTTTTCCTGCAAATACACAGTCAACACAAGTGCTTTCATTTCTACCTCATGGCCTCATGTCTCTGTATGGTTTTAGCCCATGTAGCTCCAGTCAGCAGCAGCGCTAAATAATCTGAGCTTTTTAAAATGAGAGTAAATACCTTAAATGTTTTAATAATAAAAATAATAATGCATCAAACTTATAGCGCTTTTTTGGACAGTCAAAGACTCTTTACAAACCACATAGAAATAAACATTGAAAAACAAAATTAAGGAAAGGCAAGTGAGTTTTAGTCATAAATCCTGGTTAATCAATCATATTCCGCTACCTGTGGCACCCCCCAAGGAGCAAACCATTTTATGTTATTGTGCAAGTGGCAAATCATACATATTTCTGTCACTATACACAGTGAGTACACAGGCATCACTAGATTGTATACAAAGTTACTAAAACTGAAGCAGGTTTAACTTCAGAAGTGTTTCTGCTTCTGTGTGAGTTGACTCTCGGGGCTCCACTCCCCAAAACGCACACAAACACTCGGACGGGCACACTCCCCAAATGAGGCCAGTCAAATTACTTGAACACTAACAAATTACTGCCCAACAACGGTGTAGATGATTTAAACATATCCTAAATCAAAAGGACTTTTTCTGGCCCAAACAAAGTCTTGAGTGAAGAAGAAAGCCGGACAGAAATGCCGTGCACACAAAATATCCCCTCACCACAAGAGCTGCATTGTATTTGGTACCTGATGCATTAATCATCCATGTTGAAATGAGTCCAGCTCTGCGTTCCACTGTGGATTTTGAGAACCGGTTTTGTTTTAACTCTATAGCAGTGTCCCAACAAAAATCTAACAATATTTTTTAGATAAATAAATAACCATAAAAAGATACCACAAAAACATAGAATATTATTAAAGGCTCGGAAAAAGTCTTAGGCACTCTCAGAATTCCTTTTAAAAAGGGACATCAACACACTTCAACTCAGGGCCATGGATGCATTACATTATCTGGATAGCGTATTGCTAGCTTAAACCCATCTCCAGCACGGACATGGGGCAACCCGCCGCACTGCAGCTCCAATTCACACAAGCTGAACAGGACATTTTGCCCATAGGCCTCAGTGTTAACTATAACGGCTCGTCCTCAGCTGAACCCACAGCTTTCACGAAAGGTACGATTTCAGTGAACTTTTTGAAATCCATCAGTTTTCTATAAATCCACTTTTTGTCCAACAACTCTGATCAGCTACACTCTGATTGGTCAGGACGCTCACATGTCCCTAAGATCAACGTGAGCGAGCACCGCCGTTATTCACAAAACGTGAAGGTCATGTGACAACTAGGTCTGAACCACTTACATAAATCTCAATATTAAAGTAACATTCTCACAAAACAAATACGTTTACAGGAATTTTACTTTGGAAATATACATTGGTTATTTTATATCAGTATCATGACTCTTCATATCTCTATATTTATACAAAAACAATAAATCTTTCAGCCCATAGTGACGCAGATGTTATTCAGAATAATAATACAGACCCTCTGCATGACCCCTTATACATTCTACATAGAGACTCTGAGCTGGTGGAAGTGTGCGTGTATAGTGTGCATGTCTCTGCTTAGACCCCACAGCGCCAGCAAGGGACAAAGTGGAAGATAATGGAAGGATGATAAAAGCTCTTTTTATTGTTTTCATTACTACAGCAGAAACATGCACGTCGGCTTCCATGTGTGTGTATGCACGCAAAATGTGACAGGAGACTAAACATAAAACAGACAAAAATATCTGACTGTGCTGTCTGCTTCTCTATAACACCCATGGATCAAATTTTGTAAATTAAATCACAAAACTGATCAATAAAAATGTAACAAAAGAAAGGGCAGGTGGCTCCTGTGAAACCATAAGAAGATACGTCTGCTGATCTAGCCAGATCACGGGTAACCTACCCATGTGCAGAGCCTGGTGAGTCACTTTAGAACTAAGCATCAAAGATTGAGGAGGGACCAAGTCTTTGTAAATAGACCAAAAGGAGCATTTAGAAAGACACTGCATCAGGCCCTCATTTAAATACAAGTAATGAATGAATTAGGGCCTCTTTCATCTGAGTCCTAATGGATTTACATCTTACTCAGTAGTCCATGTTGAGAGAGGGACACAAATAGAAGGTGGGTAAATAGCAATTCATGATCACAACTGCATCTTCCATATAATGTTTTTTTCTTCTAATGAGTTAATTATAAAAAGATAACTTCATGCAAAAATTGTATTCAAAAAACCTTACAGCTGCATCTATAAATTATTTAAGTATTCACGTATTCAATTGAATATACTTTTATAAATTGAGTCATATTTCACTTCACACAAAAAAAAAATACTGATTTAAATGCAGTGCAGGCACAACATGGAAACTTTTCAAGGTAAAAAAGTGAAAATATTATTGTATCTAGTTTTGCATAGTTTTTAAGTGTGTAATAAAAACAACCGATTAATTAAATAATGCTTTCTTGAAAAGCAGAGGGTAACTTAACAAATCACTGTGAGCAAATAGTAGTGCCCCAAAGACCGACCATTACGGTGTTGCAAGTCAGTGTGTTGGTTTTAGTAAAGTCACATGGCTGATTATTGATAAATGGACTTCCAAAATGCAATGATGCGGCGGCTGGAACAGGGCATCACAGTACTAACCAGGCCCTGCCCTGCTTAGCTTCAAGGGTTTGGAAGGATCTGCTTTCACATGAAGGTGGAGCCACAACTTACAGTGCCTTGCGAAAGTATTCGGCCCCCTTGAACCTTTCAACATTTTTCCACATTTCAGGCTTCAAACATAAAGATATGAAAATATATTTTTTTGTCATGAATCAACAACAAGTGGGACACAATCGTGAAGTGGAACGAAATTTATTGGATAATTTAAACTTTTTTAACAAATAAAAAACTGAAAAGTGGGGCGTGCAATATTATTCGGCCCCTTTACTTTCAGTGCAGCAAACTCACTCCAGAAGTTCAGTGAGGATCTTTGAATGATCCAATGTTGTCCTAAATGACTGATGATGATAAATAGAATGCACCTGTGTGTAATCAAGTCTCCGTATAAATGCACCTGCTCTTTGATAGTCTCAGGGTTCTGTTTAAAGCGCAGAGAGAACCATGAAGACAAAGGAACACACTAGGCAGGTCCGAGATACTGTTGTGGAGAAGTTTAAAGCTGGATTTGGATACAAAAAGATTTCCCAAGCTTTAAACATCTCAAGGAGCACTGTGCATGCAGTTATATTGAAATGGAAGGAGTATCAGACCACTGTAAATCTACCAAGACCCGGCCGTCCCTCCAAACTTTCATCTCAAACAAGGAGAAGACTGATCAGAGATGCAGCCAAGAGGCCCATGATCACTCTGGATGAACTGCAGATAACTACAGCTGAGGTGGGAGAGTCTGTCCATAGGACAACAATCAGTCGTGCACTGCACAAATCTGGCCTTTATGGAAGAGTGCAAGAAGAAAGCCATTTCTCGTTTAAAGTTTGCCACAAGCCACCTGGGAGACACACCAAACATGTGGAAGAAGGTGCTCTGGTCAGATGAAACCAAAATCAAACTTTTTGGCCACAATGCAAAACGATATGTTTGGCGTAAAAGCAACACAGCTCATCACCCTGAACACACCATCCCCACTGTCAAACATGGTGGTGGCAGCATCATGCTTTGGGCCTGCTTTTCTTCAGCAGGGACAGGGAAGATGGCTAAAATTGATGGGAAGATGGATGGAGCCAAATACAGGACCATTCTGGAAGAAAACCTGTTGGAGTCTGCAAAAGACTTGAGACTGGGACGGAGATTTATCTTCCAACAGGACAATGATCCAAAACATAAAACCAAATCTACAATGGAATGGTTCACAAATAGACGTATCCAGGTGTTAGAATGGCCAAGTCAAAGTCCAGACCTGAATCCAATCGAGAATCTGTGGAAAGAGCTGTAGACTGCTGTTCACAAACGCTCTCCATCCAACCTCACTGAGCTCGAGCTGTTTTGCAAGGAAGAATGGGCAAGAATTCCAGTCTCTCAATGTGCAAAACTGATAGAGACATACCCCAAGCGACTTGCAGCTGTAATTGCAGCAAAAGGTGGCGCTACAAAGTATTAGCACAAGGGGGCCGAATAATATTGCACGCCCCACTTTTCAGTTTTTTATTTGTTAAAAAAGTTTAAATTATCCAATAAATTTTGTTCCACTTCACGATTGTGTCCCACTTGTTGTTGATTCTTGACAAAAAAATTTAATTTTATATCTTTATGTTTGAAGCCTGAAATGTGGCGAAATGTTGAAAGGTTCAAGGGGGCCGAATACTTTTGCAAGGCACTGTATGCATCCCTGGAACCCACCTGACAATTCACTAATGTAGCCTTGACCCATCGATGCATTAGACTACATGTAATTCGCAGATCTGTGATTTGATAAAGTGTTATATCAGGCTATTTTACTAAGACTAAGTGACATTGCAACAAGAGCCTGATTATGCAAATACAAAAATCTGGTGACAACCCTAAACATATCAGAAACTCAGAACCAGGGCTGAAGGATTTTACAGATTGTTCCCCCCACCATCCAAAACATGCAGAGTTCCTGGAGGAAACTGATTTAGACACAAGGAGAAACTGTGCCTAAACTGTGTCACTATTGAGTAAATAAGACCAAAAACGTGTCCCAGTGTAAACAAAATGAGAATCATTCAATACATCTTAATGTACTATTTCATAGATTCCTGGACATGTTATGTCAATAATGCACTTACCCTCGCGCTGGGTCGAGAGCGATGGCCCGAGGTTGATCCAGTTCTTGCCAAAATAAGACTTTTCTCAGCGATCCATCCAGTTCTGACACCTCAACTCGATTGGTTTCCGAGTCTGTCCAGTAAAGTTTATTCCCTAACCAATCACAAGCGAGTCCATCTGGGGAGGCCAAGCCTGCTATAACCGTCTGCACCACACTGGCCCCAGACTGGTTGTAGACCGTACGTTTAATGGCCTCCTCACTGACATCGCTCCAATAGATAAAACCCTTTGAGAAGACATAGTCCACTGCAGCAGCATCTTCCAGCCCTCCAACTACCAATGTGGCGTTGGCCTTCTCATGTGCCACATCCACAACCCGGAGGTCCCGCCTGTTGGCATATAGCAGCAAAGGCACGGCTGAGGAAACAAAAAGGCACATTTGACTCACTAAGGTGTAATGACATAGAAAGAAGGTAAAGGTATTTTTTGTATGATATACTGTTAGAGCCATATGTTTTCATATGCTGCAGCACAATGGGCCATGCCATGACATCGCCATTTGAGATGTCAAGCCAGGGCCAATAAGACCAAAGGCCTTTTTTAACAATCACTAAAACTGAAAAAGGACTTTTAATAATGTAGTCATTAATAATATTATTAATAGTTGTTGGTCCATATACATGCTTAATTTCCTTTACAATTCTATTCAGTTAACAAACTCCTGTTGTCCCCAGGAAATATTAATATTATGAATTAAATAAGCAATGATAGTCATTTTTAATTTTGTTGATGAATCATTCACAGCCTTGTGTGGCAGACTGTTTTCCAATTATCTAATGAGAGGACTGTGCAAAATAAAAAGAAAACACGTGATTCTACACAAGTAAAAAGTCCCTAGTATGCAGGTCATGATAGTAAAGACCTGAAAATAGAATAACAAAACATTGACAGGTCAAATACGGAACACAAACTGGCAACATTAATGATGGCAGGTATAAGTGTTCACAAGCCATTCACTCAGGTGGGTTGTAAAAGCCCTGCATGTGCTCTGCTGTTCTGCACTCTGAAGATGCAGAGGACACGGTCACCTGTTCTCTACTGTTCTTCTGGCACATGCGAGAGGAGCAGGCGCCAAATCATGTGTTGCCTTGAACTAGGACTGTAATTAACAGTTTCATTGTTTAATTATATTTACATCTTCACAGAGATTGTTACAAATAAAGTTGATTGAAAATAAATAGTAAACACTTTAATTTCATTATACCTATATAGAATTATTTGCGTTATAAAGCCTCTTATTATCATGTTTAAGCCAACAGATGATTACAGTGATTACTTATATAATTTGTTTATTAGCTGACAACTTTTTCAATTTTTCTTTAGGAAATCATACCAATTAACCTGTAACAGCCTTCCTTTGTACATCAAGTAGAAAGTAGAATATGTTTTGGGACACCACCCATGTCCAGAGATTTTATTTTCTCAATGAAGAGGAATGTGGCAATCTCTGGTGAATGTTTGGCTCTAAAACCAGCTGGAAGAATGCTTATTAGTCGATAGTCTAATAACGAGCTTTGGTTACCAGATTTAATTATTCATGTAATATTTGCTACTGTCCACACATATAGAAATTGGTCAGTTGAGACAGAGACATTTATAATGGAAGCAGGCTAGAGCTAACTAAACCAAGACTTTTAGGCATGATGTATCCATCTCAAAGACGTCCTCAGCTGCTGGTTCCTTTACCAAATATACATTTCAATAATAAAACCAAAGCACGGTCAAGCAGCAAGATAAAAATAACGGTTGAACAGTTAAAAATGACTGATGTCAAACCAAGGTAACGGTGAAGTCCTGGTGAATAGCAAACGTAAGTTATGTGTTTTGTATGAAATAAGCTGCAAACAAACGTGTTGACAAGGCATTTTTTTAAGTTAATGTCTTATCTACAGGACCTATATAGCATGTTGTGCTAGCTGGTGCTGTCCTTAGGTTTCTCTTCATGGTTGCAAGTTGCCTTACCTTCGTTTGATGTAAAGTAACGTTATGCCAGTGCTAGGTTAGCTCAAATGTCTGCACAGATCTCCAAAATAAACCTTAAACTCTGCATTGCACTCTGAATAAGCTTGAGTATGTTCATCTATTTTTCTTAGCACGATGTGTTTTGAGACTAGAAGTAGAGCAGTTAAACATAGTTAGCTTCCTAAGCTAATGCTAGCTCCGCACAACTACAGTGGGCCTGGGTCTGAAAATGTTCTGTTTTAAATGACATTCTAACAGCTTTACCACCTGGATATGTTTGATACACCATTAAACAAAATGCAATAAAAAAGTTTAGATGATCGTGGTGTTGATGATATATCTTACCTCGTATGAGAAAACAAAAACTACTGAACAACAGAGTCCGCAGCACGACACCCATCTTTCTCCCTTTTCTTCGGCCCTGTCGCCGCTTTCACCTCAGCTCACTATTCCCATCGCTGCGGCTGCCCCATCGATTGAAACACAAATATTCCACTGTCAATGGATTGAAACGCAAATGCAAAACGTTAATGGTCCCAAACTTCCATAATGACTGTCTGGCTGGTCGCTAACAGCGTTGGATCAACTCTGCGCCTCACATTGTCCTGCGGGAGATCCGTCGTCTCCTTCCGCTGCGAGGAAGCTCATTCCCCCGCCTCTTCCCTCCTCGGCCCTCTTGTTTTCCATTGTTGTTTTCATTTCATGCTCTCAAGCCAAAGATAATGTTACAGAACCGAAAACGCCTCACTGCCTTCTCGTTTTACCGTCGCTACGTGGGAACATATCCCATGGACATCTGAATGGGCGAGGATCCCATCAAAACTGCATAAACCACACAGGCACATTCCAGCGGAACTAGATTGTCTCGACTCAACTCATAACGATAGAAGCAAAATAGAATTTTATATTCAGTTTTCACATACTGCAACAGATGTAGCTATATGCCATATGCATTTCTGTGCTTAGAGCTAGTCAAGATTCGGGTTTACAAACAACCACAATTTTGTGGCCAAATTCTTTCTAGAACAAATAATGTATACAAATGAGTACTGAACGATGTGACATGTTCAAACAACATATTTTAATCATTATAAAGATAATCAAATTTCAAACTATGCAAAAGCATTACTTCACAAAACAATAACAAAAAATTATAACCATCAATGCAAATCAACAGTCGGCGATTAAAGAAGTGCAGCGCAGTCCTTGGACCAACAAGGTTTCTGCTGTCCCCTGCTGGTGATCTGGTGTTCCTGCACGGTGAGCTTGCACACTTATAACATTCACGCCTCTATTAGAAATACAGTAAAGTAATCTCCCTGTGCAGACGCTGCACTGAAAACATTTCACTTGAAAAGAAGCACGGTATAGGCAATCAATTAAAAGTATAATAGTGCAATGAATTTTAAAGATTGTATTCACAAAGAACTCAATCCACATAAGTTATTTTGTGGACATAAAACCACACAGTGAGATAGTGAGGCTGACATCCAAGTGATATCACCATAAACTTGTATGGCTGTGGAAAAAAAACATGCACTGCCTACCAGCGACACTCCCTCCACTTTCTTCATCCTGAGTATTTAGGAGTAAAATATTGCTTTACACGGGCTTTTGTTTACAATGATCCTTTGACTGTTTTGTAAGGATAATGTATCAATTAAAATGTGCCCTAAAATGTGAAAACATTCAGTTCTATGTATCAGAGACATACAATGCATTTGTCCAACACAGTGGGACCATTGCCAGTAAAATAAAATACCTATAAATATTAAATTACAAAATAAAATAGCAAAATTGCATCTACTAAAGCACAATGAAAAATTATTCAATTCAACAGACCTACTCCTCATCGTGTGTTTCAAACACTTTGCCAAATCAAATATCCTACAGAGAAGTGTGATTATAATTTACTTCTGATTAAATTATATAAGCATTGCCTTTGCCATAATATAAAAATCTGAATAAAGAAGAATATTGATTGTGTGTAATTGCTGGTCCCAAGTGGTCTTTAGCCTATACAGCCTCAAGGCCATAATCTTGGGGCAGGAGCCATTCACAAGTGAACTACAAATATGTGAGAAAAACCATTAAAATTTGCCTGCTCTACAGACCATGAGCCATAAAGGCTTACTCGGTGCTCATACTACAACGTTTAACTTAAACTTCAAAGTTAAAAAAAGAAATCTTACAAAAAACTGCATTCCTCAACTGTTCTGGTGGCAGGCCAACTTTTTCCTTGGGTTCATCCATATGTTGTTTTGCCCAGATATTCATAGTTTTCCATTAAACTTTCCTATTACATCGTAAACAAGCAGATAACTTGTAACTTAGTCAAGTGAAGTTATGTCTGTGGAAAGGAGTCTTCTAATGGTAAAAAACAAAAATCATCCATAATTGAGGAACGTACAACTTTTAAATCAAACTGAGCGACAATTCAAGTAAAGCATCCATTGCAAGCAGAAGGAGCAAAGCACTTAAAAAAGCGGGTCACCATCAGGACAGTTGAGGAATGTACCTTTAAGCTTTTTCGTTGCCTAAAAAGTGAAGGAAGTACTCGCCCTTACACTTCATAGTGCAAGTCATTAAGCTCTAATCTTGTATAATGACGTCTGTCAAAGGACTCCATGGCCTTCCTGCCCCCTATTGCCAATGCCATCGTGAGCATAGCAAGTCCCAGTACCATGAAGGCCACCACACCACTTTTCACTGCTCCACGGCCTAGCGTCGTAGCTTTAGCCTGACTTTGGTCCTGCAATGGGACCTCAGGTTGGACCACACCTTTGGGTACGATGAGTAAACCGACTGCAGGAGAGCTACTTATTAGATCGAGTAGCTCCTCTGTTGTGGTCGATGTGGTTGGAGGAACAGTTGTTGTAGAGGTCGTGGTGGGAGCCGTTGTCGTGGTCGTACTGGTAGTAGTACTGATAGCAGTAGTACTAGTTGTAGAAGTAGGAGTAGTAGAGGGTGATGTGGTGGTGGTAGTAGTAGCAATGGTAGTGGATGGGGTTTTTGTAGTTGTGACGCACGATTCAGTTTGTGGTTGAGGTTTTTCAGCAGTTCTATACGTGTCCTCTTGGTCAACTAGAGTAACATGAAGTGTTGTTGTTGCGCTTGTCGGAGCCGATGTAGTTTTGGGGACCACTGGATGCAACCTTCCCTTCTTTGTATTTTTGTTTTGCTTTTTGCTGCTTTTGTTTGGCCTTTGCAGCGACGTAACCTCAGTTGTGGTGGTTGTCATGGCAGATTCCACAGCCGGTATAGGAGTGATGATTATTAAACGCGGAGGCTCTCGGTTCAGAGATGACGATGTTGTGGAAGACTGAGTGGTAGTGGTGGTGGTAGTGGACGGCGGAATTGTGGTAGGGGTCTGTGTTGTGGTTGGGGTCTGTGTTGTAGTGGACATAGTTGTAGAAGCAGAAGTCGTGGTAGGCGCAGCCGTAGTAGGAGGAAGAGTCTGAGTGTTTGGAGCAACAGAACTAGTGCTGGTCGAGATTGTTGAAGTAGAAGTTGGTCTCATCGTTGTAAAATGGATCAGCCCTGGACAAGAAAAAGACAATGAAATGGTGCCAAAAGCAGTCATCTCCCTAAATAATAGACACATATATATACTGTATATAGTCTTTAATGTAGTAAACCCACACTATAACCAACCAAAAATAAGATAAAACTATAATGGCATTTGACACATTTTATCAACATGCTGTTAACAAAAAAAGGCCTCATGCCTTAAATGCTTATAACGACTCAAAATGTAGACTTGCCTTTGTAGATGTCATATGTGTTGATCCCATCGACAGCTTTCATCAGTGGACAGTCTTGCTCGGCCGGACAGTGAAACAAGAAGCAGTTGTTTTCACCAGGTTGTTTGTTGCCATTATACACAACCATGTTGCATTTAGCACCTTTAGGGATTAAGGATTTGATCAGATATCATAAAAGGTCCGGAGTTTGTACATGAGAATAAACATGTTGGATAAACTTACCTGGCTTAACTTCCTCAGAGCAACATGCTAGAACACAGTCTCGCTCTGATCGGACCACTCTGGCATCCATAAGGACTCCTTTCTTGTTTACTGCTTGTCTTACATTGACTATAGCTTTCTGATGTTGCCTTGAATAACAGGTCTCTGGTTCCACGGCCAAAACGCATTCCACAAGCATAAGCAATGCCAAGACAGCGGCAGCAGATTGCTTCAGTCGCCAACCTTGGTGATGGTGATGGGAAATTACTAAAGTCATGGCAGCAGTCAGTCTACACAGATATAATCAGAAAGAGACTGATGTCCAAGGAAGAGAGAAGATCCAATCCAGAATGTTCTATTGGGAGAAAAAAAAAAAAACATACATATATGTAGTTATATTTAGACTATTCGGTTAAGTTGACATTGTGTAGACCTTTTTTTTTTTTACTTTTAAAATAGAATTATGCGGACCAAGTCTTATGTTTGAAGAAAATGCAAATAGCGCTGACATGACACAATAATTTGCTGTCACAACTTTCAAGATCCAAGCTGACAAAAGATGTAAAAGAACTAAATATAACACAGTAAAAATAGATGGCTAAAAATGGATCGCCAGAAGAGAACAAAATGAACACGGGCAGTTATGACTTAACACCTTACAGAGAAGGAACAGCAAGTTAAAGCCTTGTTGTGTGAAGCTTGGCATATAACCTTGTGAAGAGTTCGTCACACTTTCAAACAATCCATAATTGTCTGTATTATATAAAATGTCTCTGCTGAGCAGACTCACCAGGCTGGCAGTACTCGTCCTCCATTAGTTCTTCAAGGTCCACAGTTCACACAACGAGACTTTACTCCTTCTGTGCAAGAGAGTCAAGCCTTAACACACAACACATTTACAACTGGTCCTATCTGATACAGTCTGCTCACATAACCTACATTACCTCAGATATCACAAACTCATTCAACTTTATCTTCCATGAATAATAAGATAATGATAAATAATACAAAAGAAATCCCATAGGATATTTGTAAAAGTATTAGGATGTTGTTATGACAGCTATGCAATATAAAATTAGGCTCTATAGCTTTTGTTTTAAAGTGTTATTTATTTCAGCCATTTTGCATATTTACAACAAAAACTAAGCCCTCTCAAATGAAGTCACCCCCTTTCTTTTGATAACCCCCCTCCCCAAAAAAAATCAAGAATAAAAAGGCCAACCCGAGCTGGCATTAGCCTTTTCCCATCACCAAGAGCCTGATTGTTCACTTCAGCCGATGCCAATTTCTCGCGTCTAAATAAGCAATTTTTATCTCCATTTAATTTGTACACAGGTTAAACGATCGAAAGGGTGCAACTGGTTAGAAAGTGAAATCAATGGTATTTCCAATAATAAACAGTTACAGTGATGAGTGGGCTACCTTGTTTCACTGAGAACGCGTCCATCTGTAGCTTTTCTCTTCGGTGTATTTCGGCGAACAACGCAAACAACACGGGCCACTCATCTCAGGCGGCGCGTCCACGGAGCAGATTATTATACATTTGGTCCCTTTTTGTGGCTAGAATCTTCCGCGCACATGTCCAGGTGTGCTCCTCTATAATGTCTGGGGCAGCATCTTGTTCCCGGTGTGCATGATGGCTGGTGCGGAGGCTCTGCTGCGCGCTGGAGTCTGACCCATTTTAGTCTTTGTCCTGCGGAAGGGGGAGGGATGGAGAGGGACCAGCAACCACAGCTCTACCAGCAACAGTGCTTTACCAGCATTTTAAACATGATTCACAACAAAACACAAGAAACAATATGGACATCGTGTTTTGTTCAATGGCGTGTTTTATTGAATGGGATTATATTTCGGATGACAATGGCCTGTAAGACAGTAAGGGCAGGCAAATTCCACATAGTCAACAAAAGCAACAAAAGTTAGGCTGACATTGAGATGTTTGAGAACGTTCTCATTTCATATTCTTATAAATGAAAATATCATGAAGTGTTATGTCTTTGTTTCCATTTATACAGGCAAGCCAACTCCAAGGACGATGCAAATACCGGTATGCCAATCACACGGATAGGACCAAAAATATCAAAAATTAAAACAAACAAACAAAAAAATGCAGGTAAATGTGACAATTTCTGTGCTGCACATTCACTCAACAGCAGTCATTTCCACGTCTTCCAGAGCCACAGCTACTTTCTTCTTCGTCTTGGTCTTCTTAGTCTGAACTGCAGTTTTCTTAACTTGAGGTTTTTCAACTATTTGAACTGTGGAAAGGAGACATTTTAGAAAATCAATACAGTGTAACAGTTGGTATATAGTGTAACAGTACACCAAATAAAATCTGGCACACATGTTTTTTTTAAAGTTTGGTTGTAGTAAGATGATGACATTGGCTTGTGGCCATAATCATGTCCTGGATGCGGAGGAAGGCTTTGCTGCTGATGGGCTGTTGTGTGTGAGACTTGGGTGGCATCTCTGATTGCCACCCCCCTGACCCAGAAATGGATTAAAGGGTAGAAAATGGATGGATGGATGGGCTGTTGTGTGTTGGATAAGTAAGAGACAGAAACACATTATCGCATTTCTGTCTCCTCATTCATGTCGGTGTGCGTAACTATGGTTACAATCTCACCTGGACTAAAGTATAGAAATCTTTTGAAGCAGAGACAAAAGTGCAGTGGATGTCTGGCTCAAATCAGAGATCCATTGATACATTTTGAATGTTGACAAAAAATTATTCAGATAGTTTTTGCTTCTGACTCTTTCAGAAATAATTTGTTATAACTTATACAAATTTGAAGAATTATTTAATGTCTTGCCATTTGTCCTCAGAATAACAGTTCTTCAAAGGTTAAATGAAATAACAAGTACACAAAAGTAGTTAGCAGATGTCCAAAAAATGTCTTCAGGATGATATAGCCTTTTGGTCAGAGCTTTTGAGTTGGATCACAGTAACACCCTGATTGGATTTTTGGATTTCCTCAACTGCATTCAAATGTTTAATTAATCAACATAATTTTTTGCGCAGTGTTTTCCAAAATTACCTTCCATACTGGATTTTTCCTTATCCATGTGACTAAGTTGTTTGAGCAGCTTTCGCCTTTTCTTCCCAGACAGTGTGATATTTGCACGTGGACTTGACCTTTGTAAAATGAATGAAATAGTTTTAGAACAATATTTGGGAAATGAAGGTATGAAAACAGAAGGTATGTGAAAAAACCCACGTTCTTTTCTTCAGGTGATGGATGGTGATAAGCCCTTCGTCAATCACAGCTCCCACAATCTTGTGTTTCTTCCTCTTCTCACGACCTAAAACACGACGCCGCTTAAAAAGCTTTTTCCCCAACTCCTGTTTGGAATAAATATAATGTAAATTAGGGCTGCATTCATAAATTATTTCTACTATCACCTAACAATTATTTTAATAATGGATTCACAGAGTAATTAGGGCCACTGCCATCAATTAGTAATTGAGTAATAAATAATTATTATTATCCTTTCGTAAATGAGTTCTATTCATTTTTACTTTCCACAAAACATCCTTGGCGCACATTAAAAAAGTATGACACTTAGTAAAACCTAAGCAGGAATTTATTTGAGCATCATTTTCACTTTGAAATTAGTACGTCGTCCACAATGGTGAACCCCACAGACACAACTATGCATAGTAAGTGCCGCATTTAATTGGGTTCCCTACAGTTTCCCTTGGTTTTGAGTTATTGTAATAATTAAATCAATTACCTAAGCCATTTTCTTCAAATATACAAATACAGAGTTCTTGCATATAATAAGTCTTATTTTTGTAAAATCAATCATTCTCAGTTGGAGCCACATGGCAATTATTCCATGAGAAGTTAACTCTGCACTGATGATAATGGTTAACTATAAAAGAAACCAACTAAAAGCACCTTTCATTAACAGATGCAAAAAAATGTATGGATCCTAAGTTAATGGTGATTTTGTAGTCATCTGAACCAACGCATCATTAACCAGAGTCAAAGACCACAGACCCTCAAAGTCAATGTTCTGTAAAGCAAATAAACATGCACACGGTTTGCAAACAGCAGACAAGATGCTCTCGAAGGGATTTACAGTATCAACATCCAAGTGTGCGTATATAGAAGGGCTGCAAGTTTAATCTCAAATCAAAACATTTTCTAAAACATATGTGACTGTTGGTTCCTTGTCTGTGATATATTGATAAATATATCATATCATAAATATATTATATTTAAAAAATATATGAATGTTAATTTGGCAAAACTGTGCAGCTCTTGCATAGCTACAGTGCACTAAAATCTTCACACAGGGTTAGGGGTGTAGGGAGTGTTTCCTTTCTTTTGTGACAATGTGCCCTTGAAAACATTTGGCCATTATGCTGGTCTTCAATTAAAAAAGCAAGCAACTTGATTTAATTTAACATCTATCGGACAGTAGCAATAGTGTCCTCTTGACCAAGAGTTAGGACATCCTTAGAAAAGAGACATTTGGAAATAATGTGTCCTGGAACAGCAGATGTTACAGAATTAAAACTTAGTCCAACAAGTTTTAATTTTTTTGCATTTTAAAAAGAGTAAAATTGCAATACAAATATATTACACTGCTATCCCTAACTATTAATATAAATATACTACAACCCAATCTTACCCAACACTGGTAAAGAGCCAACAGGTCCCCACGTTACAGTATGTGGCTGTGTACGTAAACAACCAGTAGATGTCCCCATAAGCTTCTTTAAGAATAATATTAACCTTCTGTTTGCCATGGCTTATGCCATTGTGCGACTTAAATCATGACAGATTTAACAGATTCCCAATCGATGTTTTGTTTCACAGAATATATGCTAAACTACTTGGGCTAATGTGGGAGCTAACAACTCCTAGCAGGTGCTAGCTACCATGTAATGTTATCGACTATTATCTACTGCATTAGCGCGGATATGTACACTTTTCTGAGATCCTCTTCGGCCTCAATACTGTCATCATGTTAGAAAAGAAGATTGTCTTACAGTTTTTGGTCTGTTGATCTTTCCACTCGGAGCTCCCATGGTTCCATGCGACAGAAAAACACATGAGAAAAACACGTGTACTTTCTTCTTCGAATGCTTTCCGGCAGTCTGTACGTTTGGATGTCCAATGCTGCCCCCACAGTTTGGCAGACACGGCACCAGGTATTTGAGGGAGGGTCCATGCAAACATGACTCAAACAACCAGTATCTTCTCACAACACCCTCCACCCAAAACCTTAATGAGATATACCCTTATTATAGCTGGGGTAGATAACCTTCAAATCACAAAACGTATCTATGTAATAATGCCCATGCAAGTACCGCAGTTCTTTGGTTTGGCTTGGTTCACATGCATTATTATTAGAATTGTTTGTATAGTAATCTGGATTCTTAAAAGTATATGTTTTATATTAAGATGTGGACAGCATGATCATTAAGAATCTTTTCTGTTTGGACAAAAAACGTGCATTGTCTAAGGATGGTTGATGATCCAGGACATTTAACAACATTGGTTTTCCTGCTACCTTATTGACCAATGACTAATTTATTGTATTTCCTTGTCTTCTAATGGTTTGATTATCTAATCCAGTTGTGGGAAAACCCTGGCCCACGGGCCAGATGGCCCTTTGAACATCAGGCCCCTGAGCCCTCCCCATATAAATATACTATAACATCGCACTGTGCTGCGTGCAGAGCTCTGAAGCTGCAGTCGCGCTCCTCATTCTGCTGCAATATATGATAATATTTGTTATAATAATTAATAATATAATTGCCCATGCCTGATCTATTTTGTTGTTGGAGAATTGACCATTTCTGTGATGTTTGTTATGATTTCAAATGAATCAAGTGCCAATGAAGAATCGGAGAATTTTGTTGTAGGGATTAGGGTAAACAATAAAATTAACGAGCTCCATCGCTTTATCAATCACACTGTGGAAAAATTAAAAGCCAGATCTTGTCGGACCCTTGAAGCTCAGCAGAATAAGGCCTTAGTACTGTGATGAGAGACCTCTGGGAACACCAAGTGCCACAGTGCAGCGCTGTGAATCCTTAATACTCAGTAGTATCTTATCACCTCCGTGTATGGAATGAATTAATAATGGCAGTTGAAGCATCTTTGAGTGGTCAAAAAAGCGCACCAATGCCTTAATATTATTAAAGGTGTGAAATTTACCCAAAAGGGGCAGGTACTTAATGTTTTCTATTGGATATCGTGGGAGAAATGAATCTCCTTGATTTGGGAGTAGGTCTACCCCTGTCTTTGCATGCAGAAGACTTCATGAATATTGTCCGTGTGATTGTGGCAAGGAAATTATTACAGTATTTCAATAGAAAGACCCAAGACAGTTTTTCAACTTTTTTGATCATTCGAGGACAATTACAGGACAGTGTGTCCTATGCCCTATGCAAATAGCTTGATGCACTGAAGAAAATTATGCTATTTTCAAGCCCATGAGTGCAGAGGCATGATTGGCTTTTTGTTTTGTTTCTCTCACAGTTTATTTTATAGTTTCTATATTGAGGTGTATTTACCATGCTGTACTGCTTCCCCTCAAGAACCATGCCTATAAACAAAATTGCCTTTTGACATTAACAAAGTTCATGCTTCAATATATTAAAGTTCATATATATATATATTTAAATGTCTTTATGAATTTTTGACACTTAAACATTTTTCCATTTTAGTTGTATTTGTTTGAGGAATTTCTCTTGGGGGCCGGAAGGTTCACAAAGTCTGTGTCTTCGAAGGGAATCTGGAGGTATTCCCATATGGCCTGTAGTTGTTCCAAAAGATTTGATTATGTTAAAAGAGACACATTACGCAAATGTCCTAAAGCTCTGTCGGCTATGATGTATCGTTCATGTTCAGAGTCATTCTATAATATAGAGGTTCTATTTATCTTTTGTTTAAATAAATCCAAACTAAAAGTATCTTTTTAGAAGTGTTTAAAATAGGAATGCTGTAAATTAAAGAACATTGCTCTAAATGTTCTGGTAAATCCAGTACAGTTTCCTTAGGCAAGCTAAAATACCAAAGATAAACACACTATAGGTGGTATAAGATCCACCTTGATCCAATTCTGGGTCGTGTGTGTGTGTGTGTGGGGTGGAGAAGGACTCATGGTGGGCTCCAACCCACGACCTTCAGGCTTAAAGGCCATTGCTCTACCAACTGAGCCACTGTCGCACCTTAACAACCTTAGTTAAAAGTTGTCAAAGTTAAAAGATAACATGTAAACAAGTAACTATAGGGAAAGAGAAATACTGTCATATTTATACTCTAGAAAGTTTACATACTCAAACTTCCCTCCTCCTATTAATGCCTGAAATTAAACGTCTGACTTTGTAGAAAGTAATAATTCAGAGGAAATGTTTCAATATTACTAGAAAGTGTGAGAAAATAAAACAAAATGTATTACTTCAGAAACTTAGGGTTTCTATCTGAGTGGTTCACATGTATTTTAACCCTTGTGGTTTGGGGGCACCACTGTTCAGCTAAATACAGCTGCCAAGGAGATTAGGTTTTCACCAGGGTTTATCTGTCTATTTGTTAACAACATTACTCAGTTATGGTCGGTGTCATGGATAATTTGGGTGATTTTGGAGATGATCGGAATCACATCTACCGTGAAAAAAAGTAGAGCATCAACACCTGGAGATAGGTCCTCCGGCACTGATCTACAGCCACTACTGCTCCTGACATAGGCCCTAGTGGCACTGACAAATGACAAAGTATAACTTAACATAAAACTATGACAATGTGACAAGTTGAAAAAGGGACAATTTACACAAAATAAGTAGACACTGTCAAATATTTAATTTGTTCAGTAATCTCAGTGCAAGTGGCAAAAACAACAACATTTAACCAACAATAACACATTATGTACAAATGTGAACTTTGGCATCGAAAATAGGCTACAGCTGATTGTAGAGACACCAGAGGTAAAACAAAAATAAAGAAAAAATAAGGACACATCCAGGAAACTCAGCAGCAAACAGACAAACAGTTATCTGTTCTCAGGAACAGATAACAGGGATTAAGGGCAATAACACTCAGCCATCATCACTTTCTTCATTTAAACAAATAATAATGGTATATATATTTATATTATATCTAAAGTGCATTATGGTACAAAAATATAGAAGGTCAGCAGCACCTTGATACATTTACAAAATAAATACACCATTCAGAATAAATTACTGTAAAAAAAGATCTGACATAATAAAAAGAAAAAGTGGGGTTTCACAGAGGATAAATTCTGCAGATGCCCACACATAGTCAATAGTCCCCCCATTATAATTCCTCAAATATTTACAAATAATAAATATTTTCCAATTTCTTCCAAACAATCACTATTACAGATGACTGTAAGATGAGTTCAGGAGTCAGCCCACGGACTTCCTGCTGTTTTATGAATCAGGCACACACACAGACTATTATACAGATTAGCACGTTTACCTTTAATAATATAGCAGTATTACAGTCTCTTAAATTCACCTTTGTCAGAGTCTGACAGCGTGTTATTGCAGCGCCCTCTGCAGGCCGAGCAGAGACGTCCACTCCGCGTGTCTTCCACTGCCGTGGTCTTCCTCCAAAGACCACTCGAGTGAGCGCGCTCTCCTCTTCCTCTTGTCCCCTTCCCGTCGCTTCCCAGAACGGCCTTTCTTCTTCCTTTTGCTCGTGGTCTTGAGGTTCCCGTCTTTGTACGTGTGAGACTTGTTGGTCTCCTGGGGCAGGTGGGCGTCCTCCTCGGGCAGCCCGAAGCTGAGGGGCAGGTTCTTGGTTCCTCCCGGGGGTTTGGAGTGCAGCGTGCTGCCTGTGGTGCTCAGGTTGATGTCCACACTTCCTCCAGACAAACCCCCACCTGCGCCGCTCGTACTTCCGCCACTGCTGGTCGTGCGGATCGGTAAGTCACGGATCTCCGCCGTGTGCACCTCGTCCAGAAGCTCCTGGAGCCACATGCGCCGTTTGAAATCTTGCAGAGTCCGGCCTTTGTCGTGCATCAGCTGGGCATGTGTCACAGAGCGCCTTCTGCAAGACAAAACCATCTTGTCAATTCATTTGATGGCAAACTAATAAATGGTGAGGTTGGAGGAAAATCAGCATGGAGCGTCAAAACACACACAAAGTGAAATAAGATAGGAAAAAAAAGAATAAAACGTCGGCAGCGTTTTCTGCACATTAGATGTAAAACCTAATATTTCTTAGCAGTTGGAAAATACTAAGTAAAACAAAGTGGTAAAATACGAAGATAAAGACACAATATGAATCCCTTCATCGGGACTTGACCCACTCTCTTTCACATACAGAGAAGGAGCAGAGCTTTGCTTTGCTGCAGGGTCACATTACTCAGAATCGTAACTCTTGTAATAACAGACACGCAGAGTGCACGGTTTGAACCCTGGGAACAAATGCCCCACCTCACCGGCCAAACACTTCAAGTGTCTAAGCACACAAACAGGGGTTGGAGGAATCTGCACCAGCGCCTTTCCCATCATGCCCTGCTTTATCTCATCAGTGTCAGACTTTGAACAAGTTAAACCAATTTACAGGCTTTAGGATGTCCATTTACGTTTTACGTCCTGCTCCTTCAAAGTGAAACTGTATTTTTCTGTGGAATAATGAAAACATCCTGAACAGAACTTGCCTCCCAGGTTATCACTTGAAAGTCTGTTTTTACGCATAAAGATATTTCCTGAATATCTTTTTTACGGGTCTCAGCTGGAGTTTCCTAAAAGGTCGTGTCCTGGCTGTCCAAGTTCTCTCTATCGTGTACCATATATTTTATGTTTTGTCATTTATTATTTTTCCCCAACTGCAGAAATTAACGATACAATTTAAAATAAAGGTGGCGAATAAGGAGAAGCTCTTAGAGGTCTCCTCAATTAAGACTTTTTAACAGAAAATGTATTAGTCAGAGATCAGCAACTTGTATGTTATATGAATGCCCATGGCATTCATTCATTCATTCATTCCATCAAGTGCAGAGAATGGGTTTGCTCTAAATATTGTTTCTAAATAATAAATTATTCAGTGTTTTTATTGATGGGATAAAACATCAACTTAACAGTTCGAACATCACCAAAAGTCTGTGGCGGCAATATCATTAAACAGTTTTATCCAACATAGTTTTTATTGACTGGTCCACTGTAGTAAGAAGTGAAATCAGGAGATGGGCTACAACAGCAAACACTACCTTCCTCAAAGGGGCAGCCAGTGTGAGCCTCAGCGCAGTGGAGTTTATCGCACTGAAACGCTCTCTGCTTTAAGTAAACACACAGGTGGCCAGGGCTCACTAAACAGCTGCCAGTAAGTTTCACAAATGAACACATTTTCCATCCTCTGCCACCCAACCAGAACTGAAGACGGACAGTTTAGTCTACCTTCAGGAGCTCAAAGAGGTGAAAGATTTTCAATGACACATAAAAAGAGCTTACATTCTGTTGCTCAGTGCATTGATGGGTCGTCCGTAATGTGGCACTGGAGAGCACAGTAAGAAGAGAGCGAAACACCACTGCTGTAGGTCTCTTCTGGAGAGCAGCATCTTGAAAGATTTTCTCTGTGAAAACACAAGAAAATACTTCAGTTAAGGTTCACAATATTTTACATTCACACAAACAACTGCTCTTCAGGTTAGAGCAGGGGCGCCCAAACCTTTTCAATTGCCGGGTCAAAATGAATATGGATATATATTTACTTTTATGTATTGATATTTTTGAAGAGTAACATGATTAAAATATTTTACTTTTTAATAGAAAAATATTACTTATTTGCCATACAAGACACATCTGCTCAAAATATCAAAATAGAGAATCCAGTCAAATGTGACCTCCTCTCCTTTGGAAGGCTAAATTTGACTCTTTGGGAACCCCTGGATTTTAACTTTTCAAAAACAACTGTGTAAAGCAAAAGTGTTTTGAGTCAAACTTACATTCTCAAAGAGTGTCCCGCGAACAAGAATCAAAATGAGAAATTAATTAGAATTTTAAAAAACACTGTAATGTCCAGATGTCTCTATGAATCCAGGGTTTGAAGACAACATTCGCAGTCCACAGTCCATAGATGTCTGATAGTTCCTATGCTCCTCGAGTTAGAGTTGGAGAAGTGTGTCCAGGTGTCCCACAGAGCGCCTCTGTAATGTGTGTTCTCTCTCTGCTGTAGGTCAGTGTGATGGGAATGCTGGCTGCATGCTGTCTGAGAGACTTGGCAGGTCAGAAGCTGAGGAAAGGGGAGGACTTCACAAAGAGGTGGGTCCTCCTCTCTCCATCTGCGCCTGATGGAGGAGCTCAGAAGACAATGGCAGGTAGGTGGCGCCCAAGCAATATACAACTATGTTCTCAACCAGCAGCTTTCACATGAGGCTTGATTAGAGCCAGACCTTTTCACTCATTCTTTTATTCTACAGTTATTGCCGTATTTGATTTTAAAAATGTAAAAGGAACTTTGAACCATGTTTCAGCTTTTTCATGTCCATTAGGAATTTTTTGTCTACCCACTTACTCCTTCACTCTTACGTGAACGTTTTCTAGATTATTAAAAGAAAGGTCCACAGATTTTACATGTTGGTCTAAAAATCATTCAAATTATAAAATATTAGCCAGTATAAAGAGGCGCTAATTCTCAACGTTGTAGTTTTGAGAAAGTTAATGGATGCGTAAGTTCTTCTAGACCATTATAGCTGTTAACAAAAAAATATGAGTTGTATGAGGATCTATGTTGATTAAGAAAAGAAAATATCAGAAAATTGTATGTCTTAGATCTCCTATGTTTCACTTGTGCTTGGGCCAATAGCACTCACCTTTAAATATGCATAGGAAAATAAAATAACCTTTATTTGTCTCACAATGGGGAAATTGTGAGACAAAAGTTTTGCTGCGGACAGTAATAATACTACTCTTATAATAAGTTATTAGCTATGACCACACTGCTGCATCATTCCTATTGTAACAGTTTCTATGACTCATTAACATGACATATGGCTGTAATGAGCTTCAACACTGTAGAAAATATGCCGGTTCAAATGGCATTCTGTCAAATGTGGTCTAATGGAATAAACCGGAATGTGTGTGGGCGAATTACTTTTTCTGAATTAAACACTATTAAACTCTGCCACTACTTGCATACTACTGTCTCATGCAATTGTCTTCATAGAGCATAATTAATGTACTATTTTTAGTACCATTAAAATTACACTTATCATAAGCTGCACTGATCAAAAGTATGAGAGGCGCGTGGCTGCAGCAGAACAATGGCCATATTTCTATCCAATAAACACAGTGACGTATGCTTAGAACAATCATGAAGGTAAAATAATTGCATTTATTGGGGAAATTTATAAGCGTTTCAAAACTGTAATTTCTTTCTTTTCATAGAGAGTTGTGTTGTACAAGTTTTTAAATAAACATCTTGAAGTGTCAGGACAGCTTGAACTCTGGCACATTTTGTATGTTACAACCACAAACATGAATATTTTATGATGGATTTTTTTACTGAAAGACCACAAAAAAGTAACCGACAACTGTGAAGTAAAAACTAAATGCTGTCCAGACACTTTTACAAGGCTGTACTGTAACTGTATTTACAGGTATGTGCTTTATTATCTGCAAAACCCTTAAACCTCTGAGAGACACATGTTGGTGGAGGTAGATCCTGATGGAGGTTGAAGTCTGCAGCCCTCTCGTCTAAGAATTTTCATATTGTCTGCTTTTGACTTTAAAGTAAAAAGCCAGGCCCTCTTAGAGAATGTGATGCTCCACCCACATTGCCTGAATATGGTGCATGTGAATGATGGGTGATGGTCAGAGGCTGCTGCAGAGAAATTCTTAGTAAACTGGTACCCAGGTAGCTCCATGAGTCACACACATGCACAGCTGTATCAGCATTAACAACAGACTAAACAGATGCTGATGAAACTTTCCAGAGAATAGGGAATTAAACATGTCGAGAGGAAAGTGATCATTTTGACCGTTGATTCGACAGCCACATAACCACCTTTATGTGAGAGTCCAGGTTGACCCATATTCTGTCTTCCCTGTAATGAAAATCAGATGCGGCTGTCATTGTTGTTGTCCTGGGTCAATGGATAGGTAAAAAAACACACAGGTCTGCAGTGTGTAAAGGCCCATTGATTATTTAGTTTCAATGTGTGGCTGTCTCCTTCACTTTTCGGTGGTTAAATGAATCATATTTGATTTTGATAATATTTCCAAATTTCCATTAGTCTGTATTCCTTAGATAGCTGCAGACAGTGAACAGTCTCAAAGTGCAGTTGTTAAAAAGGTTTGTTTGTCCAGTTTTAACTTCTACATCTGACCTTTGGTTACATTTGTGAAAAACTGATGATGTCTTGTGTAAAGTCTCTTTATAGTGTTCAAACTGATGACAGTCTGAAGACACCCACCATGTTTTATGACACGTTTTGAATTTCAGAAGTGCATGTGGACTCAAATCTCTATGAGAGAGACTGATGGACTGTCACTTTTTATGGGCCAAAACCTCCCATTTGTTTATTCCTTTTGCAAATACATTTCTTTGTGAACTGTTTTACAGAGAAATGGTCTCAGGTTTCTAAACATCTCACTGCACTATCCATTGTACTCAAAATATCATAAAACTGTCACAAAGAGATGTACATTTCAGCCCTAAACTTGTGATATGTTGACTCCACACTCTTGTGTCAACATTTTCCCACAAATGATTTCCACACAAAAATAAGTGTGTTGGGGATTTCTCTCTGGAGTCTGTCTTTAATTCACAAGGCGACAGCTGGAACATATTGTGTTGTTTCAACATGTATCAGTGACTCAAGCTATTTAAAGAAAGGATTTGTGCTGTACCAATAAATACATTTAAAAGTAATTTATGCATCTTGTAAATATTCAGTAGCCTGCAAACTTATTTGTGACCCACCATAAAACCAATATCAAATAAAAGACAATGACTACTTAAGCATTCTAGGGTCAATAATAAACTATATTCATTCTTAAGGGTTAAGATGCTCTCACAGTTGCTCTGTACTGTTATGTACATATTTTGTTTAGTTTGATTCTGTCCCGCTGTAGACTTCATGGTTGGTTCTGTTCTTGTTATGGTTTATTTGAGGACTTGATGTTGATGTTTAGTTCTGAAATTGGTCCCAGCTTCTACTCTTGCTGTTGAAAATAAGAATACGCATTAAATGACAGATTCTGTATTCCATCTTTAGCATTGCCTCCACATAAACACAAATAATAAGTGCATTTCACTGTTTGGTCCTTCCCTAATTCAGCCAGAGTGCTTTCCAAGACATATTCTTACAAGACCTCTCTTTCAATGCATAATGTAATACATGCAGTCTGCATATAGATATTTATCAGGACTACTCTGTATACTGTGACTCAACACTAAGAATGCTGGCACAGTTGACTTGCTCTGTTTTCAATTTACTTAATTATCTCAAACAGTCAGGCCTGGCGACGCTGGTCTGTGGATGGGACCTCAAAGTTACCCAGTAACATCTTCATTATATGCCTATGACACTCATTATTAGAATTGTTGAAATAACCATTGTTGTAATAAACTACCAATCTTGTTCTATCCGTGGGAGCGTCACACAAACAAGATGATAAATTATTGTGATGAAAAATCACTGACTTTCCCCTGTTGGGTGCAAATAACTCAAGTTCCTTTCACTTTTCAAGGTTTTCTGTTTTGAGCCAAGTAAAGAAAAAAGACTGTGTTTTGGGTTTTAACATCAGAACAAAAGGAGGAGTGTTCCAGCACTGTAATGGAAAGGTCTACCTGCATCCCAGACACCGCGAGGAGAACTATCCTCTGGAAAATAGTGTTCTCCTGTGCGTTTGACCCACGAGAGCTACTTTACCTGTATGTAAACAGGTAGATGGAAAATAGGGATTTTCCTGGCAACAAGTAATATGTGGAGTCTGTGCCAGGAAACCTGTTTTAGATTTTCTGAAAATGTCTATGTCTTGGCAGAACAGAACATGCACAAAACAAATGTGGAGTTTTAATCTTTTAGCGCACCCCCAGCTCTGTGGTCTCTCCCACCGCTGCATTCTCCACACAAAGACACGCACTGTTTGTATTGTACTATCAATGAACAAGACAGGCTTGTACTGATACAGAGACCTGTCAGGCAACAGGTTCCAATACTGGTCCCTCAACCGTGCCAAAGACCTCGGACCACAGTAATATTCTTGTAGAAAAGCATATACAGTATTCTTGTCTTCATTTCTCATATTATTGACTATCAGCATAACTCCTGGACAAGATGCTAGCATAGAATCAACTATATTTTATGACCATAAATGTAAAAAATGGCAATGAAGAGTGGCCCCGCTGCTCAGTGAATGCAAGGGGAAACTTGTTAATAACTGAGCGCAGCTGTAAAACACAGGCAGGCGGCTGGAGGTCAGACAGTGAAAAGAGGGAGAGATGATAGATGATGATGAGTGACAAATGATGAAGAGTCATTCTCTGCTCAGGGGTGGCCTTCCTGCCTCTCATCATAACCTCTGGCTCACCTCTTCCACCAGGCCCCAGATTCACTTTGTGGTGAATTGTTTTATTCTAGAAATTTGGAAATGTGCATTTTTTATGGAATAGATGACAAGAGAGACCGTAAAAGACAGTGTTGACGCGCTGAGATTTCTCGAGTATGATTTGCAGCCTACATCATACGCCCACCACAGGCCGTCCCGCTTCACCGCTGCTCTGTGACCACAAACACTAATCCTCCAGAGTCGTGTAGTGCGCAGACATATTTGTGGACATTTGTTGCTCCTCTGTCTGACCCCTTTGCTATTCAACATAATACTCAGAGTGGAGGCCACAAAACCACTATATTCCAGTATCCAAAATATGTCCATGGAGGATGGATGTTGATATTCAACTTGTATGCTTGAAATAGAGTTCCATGATGCTTTACAATCACAACAAACGCAGTGGAACTCTCTCCGTGTACTTTCCTTTATGATTCTGAGTGACTTTGTTTAGTGACAAATGCTATCACTGAAAAGTGATTGAAAATGAATTACATCTCAAAGCCAGATCCCAAGCTCCTTCCTGAGTAGGGAAGGACCTGGTTAGTAGTCTTTTGGAAGACGTGTGTGTGTGTGTGTGTGTGTGTGTGTGTGTGTGTGTGTGTGTGTGTGTGTGTGTGTGTGTGTGTGTGTGTGTGTGTGTGTGTGTGTGTGTGTGTGTGTGTGTGTGTGTGTGTGTGTGTGTGTGTGTGTGTGTGTGTGATTGGTTGGTGTTGATCAGAGGGGTCAATGGCACTGGTTGCCTCGCTTCTGTCAGTGTACC